CATCTCGTCCTAATTGGGTGTTAAGACTACAAACAATTCCTACACTAAACAAAAACTAAACACATATGGTTCCAAAAAGGGCCTATCAAGAACAAAAAAATTTATCTAAGCTACACCTAGCCCTATCAAAAAAACAAAAATTTAACTAGACTAAAGCACTGACCCCACTCGTGCTACCAATTTGTAAGCCCTGCTAGGGGGGGATACCTAAAATCTACCCTTCTAGGCTTAACTAACTAATCTGTCCGGTCAGTGCAACCGTGGTAGAACCCACAGTGGTTAAACCCTAACCTTAGTCTAAATAATAAGCTACTAAATAAAACAAAAACTTTTAACAATTTAATAAAATTTATTGCATGGAACCAAAAGTTAAAAAAAAGAATAGATAAAACTGACACAAAACAGAACCAAACGAAACAAACTTTTTACATCAAACAAAACACCCAATTTCGGACTTCGTCCAGGACTAAGACGAACACAAACACAAAATAAATACGACTGGATGGTGCGAATTTGCTATTTTTTTCACTGGATGACCAGAGAGACTGCCTGCTCTCTTCACCGCGGCTTTCCACACAAAAGACAGAGTTGAACAAGCCGGAAACCGACTTCCACACACCTCACACGTAAACAAATAGTCCCTAATTCACGGATAACAAACCAAACACGACGAAACATGCAACAGAATATTATAAAAAGACACTTAATATAAACAATGACAACAATATAAACGAAATATATATAAACTAGCTATAACCATGGACATAAACAGTGAGACAGCGGCGCCATAATACGGGACTACACAACTAAAACGACCAACAATTTACGACATGAAACGAAACGATACATTCGCCTTCTAAGTTACAAATAATAAAAATACACTCCAGCCGCTCACATATAGGCCTATATCTTACAAGTGCAAGTCCATGCCCATACACATATCTCTATCCTTAACTATTCCTATTTTAAACCCTAAGGGGTCATCCATAAATGATGTCACGCTTGTTTTGACAATTTCCCCCCCCCCTCTCTCTGTCACACATCGTCACAAAAAGCCAGACCCACCCCCCTAAAATGACGTCACACCTCAGCCTACAACCTCCCTCAAAATTGCAGTTGAATTTTTTTTAAACATCGACATTTTTCCAAAATCTTGCTTGAACTCTGTCAAAATAGAATATTTTAATCAATTCCTACTACAATTTATTTAAACAGTTTTCTAAAACGCGAAATAACGTCTATAATTCATTTTCTAACATTGCTTTTTTATTATGCAAAAGTGTGACGTCGCACCATCTGAATTCCCCCCCCCCTTCCCCTCATCACACACCGTCACAAAATTATGCCCCCCCCCCCCCCGTGTGGCCGATTGTAGGAAAAAAAGTCACAGGAAAAAAAAACACAGGAAAAAAAAACACAGAAAAAAAGTCACAGGAAAAAAAGTCACAGGAAAAAAAGTCACAGGAAAAAAAGTCACAAATATATATTTGCATGATATTTGTTAATACTTTTATGTATTAAATATTTAGAGAGTGCAAATTAACTTAGGATTAATTAAATGTAATGTAATGTGTGTAGGCTGTATACGCATAGGAAATTTTATAATTCATCTAAAAATATTTATTATGAAGTATGTAGATTGTAATTATTTTAAACTTAAGATTAGTAGCAGAAAGCTCCAAAGTCCACGTTTTTCATCGTGTTTTCTTTTTTAAATACCAATATTAAATTATCGTGAAATGGTAAGTTCATCTGACTTGCTGCCCTCAACTCATGGCAACAATAGTTTTGTTTAGTTCAACCACCTTTACTGCCCACATTTATCACGCTCGTTACATAACAAAACTTAGGATCAAAACAGAAAACGACAAGGTTCAAAGGCTGTCATTGACGCATAACGTCAACAACACAAAATATGTTCGGACAATGCCTACTGAGGAGAGGCCGACCAGAGAATAGCCTACGGCAAAATGTGCCTAAATTTCTTTTATAATCAACTTTTCTACCGCGTATTTAACTAAATACGTAACAAAAGTTGAGATTGTTGTGTTAATTATCTTAGATTATTTTTACTTACAATTGTTATAAATCATAATGCTTTTAAGGTCTATAAATAATTTATGCTATCAAAAAATACAACCCACAACAATAAACATACACAATTTTACAATTCTTAACAAATTAATAAAAATATTTCTAAAAAGATTTTTGTGACTTTTTTTCTGTGACTTTATTTCTGTGACTTTTTTTCCAATAAATTTTTTCCACTGTGACTTTTTTTCTGTGACTTTTTTTCCTAGCAAAAACTGTGACTTTTTTTCTGTGTTTTTTTTTCCTGTGACTTTTTTTCCGTTTACCGTGTGGCCAATGACAAAACGGCCCCTTCAAAACGACCCCGACAAATCGGCCCCGTCAAATTGAACAAGTCAAAATTGCCAGCGACATATATATTTCCACAAAACGGCCCCCGTCATTACGACTCCCGACGAATAGGCTCCCGCCATTTAGTTTCTCCACAAAACGGCCCCCGTCATTACGACTCCTGACAAATAGGCTAGCGTCAAAAAGGCTCCTATCAATTTGGCTCCAGACAAAAGGACAAAAGGACCACTGACAATACCGTTTCTGTAGAGACTAAGCGGTCTCATTAAATATGACACCTGCCAGTGGGACCCCTTCATCAATATTCTTTTGAGTTAGCTTATCCAAAACTCTTATGTAATACAACGTATGCATCTCTTGTTCGGCAGGCCTTATTTTTATATTAGTTATCTATTATAAAATATAGTATGTTTTAATTTAAGGGTCATCTATCTATGACATCCATAATTGAGTCGGTTATAGGCTGTTCCAACTCAGTGTGTGGGGAGAAGGGTCCACGCTGAACCTTCCTACCTGCAGTATGCTTGTAGGTTATCAAAACAAAATGCTGTTATCATGTAAACATCATACATTTACACTTATGTTCTCGCTTTTAATCAACAGATCTTTTCTGTTGTAAATTAAACATTATCAAAACTTTAGAATTGGTGGAATTTAGCTGTTAAGGGCTCGATTTGTTTGTGAATTAATGTTGATTCATGAAAAACAATTTCATTTGGGCATTTAAAAGAGGGTATGGTGGTATTGGAGGTAGGACAAAATGGTTACTTTTATGCCAATAGTGGTCATGCCATTCATTGTTCTGGAGCCAATATGTCGGGAGTCATTTTGTCAAAAGCCAATATGTCGGGAGTCCAATTGCCGGGAGCCAATATGTCGGGAGCCCATTTGTCGGTAGCCAATATGTCGTGAGCCCATTTGTCGGGAGCCCATTTGTCTTGAGCCCTTATGTCGGGAGCCAATATGTTTGGAGCCGCTTTGTCGGTAGCCAATATGTCCTGAGCCTATTTGTCAGAGGTTAATATGCCGGGAGTCCATTTGTCGGGAGCCTAAATATCGGGAGCCCATTTGTCGGGAGCCTATATGTCGCAATATGACGGGAGCCCATTTGACGGGAGCCAATAAGTCGGGGCCCTTTTAACGGGGCTTTTTTTGACTGGGTCGTTTAGTCGGGGGTCGATTAGATGGGGTCAAATTAACTGGGCCGTTTTGACGGGGCCGATTTGTCCCGGCACCAGGGGCGGAACTACAGTGCCGCCAGACCCCGCAATGCGGGGGGGCCCACGCCATTTAGGGGCCCACAGCCGACCATAATATTTTTTTATAGTTAATTTTTTTTTTTTGCATTTTTTACTTGATGGTTGTTTTGTAAAAAAGATTACCGTAGCTGCGGTTGGATTATCTTTATTCTATAGACTTAACCCCACGATCTTGCATACTCTTTTTCCCTTTGTTTTTAAACCACTGTAAAAGCCGAGTCCTCTTTCTCTTAAAATCAAACTTATCAAAGATAAGCAAACGTTCAAACCACTTCATGACTTATTTCCCTTTTTTAAAGAGTCAAATAGGGGTGCTCACAAGCTCTTTTTAATATATTTGTACTAAACAAATTTAAAAGCAATAATTTCTCTTAATTATTTTTTATAAAGTACTTACTAAAGAATAACATTTATAAAAAGGAAATGTATTTAAAAAATTAATAATATAAATAAAAAAAAAACATTAAAATAAACATAACACGAGACACCATTACTTATACAAAGCTTTCATGGTTTATATTCTTCTGACCGACTAGAAGATAAAATGTCTTATAACAAAGATTAAATAAAACTGATTCTCGCAAAGCAAACTAATGCACTTACACCCATGACATGATGTTGTAATTTGTATAAATACTTTAAAATGTTTTTATTTAAACCCGAACAAGTCAGCAATGAGTATCTTATGTTCGTGTTTTGTGTGTGTGTGTGTGTGTGTATATATATATATATATATATATATATATATATATATATATATGTATATATATATAGGGGGGGGGGCTAAAAATATTTTTTGCGGGGTGGCCCTTTTTTTCTAGTTCCGCCACTGCCCGGCACCGACCCCCCAGTGGCGTAGGCGGGGGGGGGGTTAGGGGGGGGGGGGGACATAACCCCCATCCCATAGACCCCTCGGTATATATATATATATAAAAAGTATGAGGGAGGTGCAAATCGAAAGTTTGAGGGGGGGGGGGGGGGGGGTAAAAATTGGAACCCCCCCTTGAGACGATCCTGGCTACGCCACTGCCCCCCCCCCCGTCCCGTCCCCCCCCCTTCCCCCCTACGAGCGTGACGTCATTTATGGACGACCCTTAACCCCATGACAATGACCATCTATTTTCAGCAATCAAGAAAAAGTTTGAATTATAAGAATATAAAATCCCCGGTGCTGTATTTAAGGACAGATTATTTCCTCAAGTATTACTATATAGATCTAGATCTAGATTAGAGGGCGATAATTATATTTTAAAAAAAAATCGGTTTAAAAATAAATAATGTGTTGCCAGATCAGTTTACTTTGTTTCGTTTAGGACCATAACTTTCAGATCAAGCTTTTTATTATTTACAAAAATAAAATGGCAGCCCCCATTCAATCGTAGTACATTCATAGTATTATACTATTTATTTAACATTACAATACATAGATTCTACATAGGTTACAAATTACAAGCCTAAGAGTAAGTATTTAGAGAATCTACTCATCCCTTATCGATAAAGTGTAGAATCTACATAGCCTAATCCAGATCTAGATATTTAGTACTAGACATCTAGATCTAGAATCTAGTCTAGACTCTAGAGTGACTGAGCTAGAGCCTGCTGCTAGGCAGCTAGAGAGAGTCAATCTACTAACTATCAATCTAGTAATCTAGTAGACTAGATCTAGAAAGAATCTAGTAACTAGTACTTAGATCTAGATCTACTTGCAACTTGGACTTTTATACTTTTTGCTTCAATTCAAATCTTGAAATCAGAGCCAAGCAAATCAGCCAAATGAGGTGTTTTTGAGGTTATAGATCTAGAATCTAGATCTAGAATATTCTTTTAGTTTTAGGTACGTAAAAAAATCGGCCGAGGCTAGTAATGTGTAAAAAAAGGTGACTCATTAAATTTTAGTAGATCTAGAATCTAGATCTAATTAATAGGCCGATGCTAGCCAGAAAAAGATATGCATGCGCAATGGGGAGGGTAATCTATCGTTTTGGGTATGTAAAATCGCCCGCGACTAGTAATGTGAAAAACAGGTGACTTCTTAAATTTTAATAATTATTTCACATTTTTAGGAGGATTTATGTTTTGAAAAATACAAAATTGTTTCCTTGTTTCATTAATAAATGAAGACTGGCGATGTTTTCATCAGATGCAACTATGCTCATTTACTATAGCAGCCATCTTGTTTAAGCTTTATTTTGTTAAACTTATAACGGGAGATTCAGGGGAAACCACTCTATTTTACAAAAGACTGCTGTTTATATAGCAATTCTTGTTCGCAAACACTGCTGTTTAAAATTAATTTCTGGCCTTTGTTGATATATATTTAGCCATTGATTTTGGTTTATTATTCAGTTATCTATAATATTTGACAAAAATATTTCACAATATACTTCTATTAAAGCCTTGACAATAAGGTAACTTTTTCGTACATTACTAATCGCGGACGATTTTACGTACCTAAAGCGATAGATTACCGGGAAGATTTATGTGATTATGTGGTAATCATGGTAACCATTTTAGGTACGTGTAAAACATGCCGAGACTAGTTGTAACAGTCAAATGTAAGGTGAATGCATGTTTCGAGTATGTTTCATAAAAAGTCTATATAAACCTAAAATATAGGGTGGGTGTGCGCATGCGCTAAAAAAGGAAGCAAGGGGGCAGAGAGCGGAAAGAAAATGGCGATGTTTTGGCAGTGAAGTCGTTGTATCATTGTATCAATGAATCAATAAAATCATGAAAATTTTCTGAACGTGGGTTGTTTAATGTTATAAATCAGACTATAATATGTAATAACAAAGGAGGAGAGAGGAGAGCGGTTGGTATTTGTTTTTTTGAGTTCGTGCCATGATTGGCAGCAGAAAAGGACTTGACACTAGTAATGTGAAAAAAAGGTGACTCATTACATTTATTTTATTATTTCAAACGAGCCGACCAGCGGCATATCATACGCTGCTATTTAGTTGTTTTATTTTCTACTTTTCAGTAATTCATAATTTGTGAATTCGACAGTACCAATGCTGCCACTGAAAATATTTGCTTTAAAACACTATCAGTAGGTCGTTAAGAATGATACTACCCCCACCCTCCTTTCCCCAAACCCCTACCCTACCCCCCCCCCCCCCCCTCGTGAAAGCAGCCTCCTCTTAGTTACCTCCCCTAAGTTTAAAATCGTTTCAAACTAAATTATCTGCCCCTAAAGCCGTCACTAAACCCGGCTCTATGATTGTAAACATTTAGCGTGAACCACAGCTCACCAGACCATGTAGGGGTGGGGTGGTAGGGAGCACGCTTCCTGTTTTTTTTCTAGTGTCTCCAAGAAGAGAATTATATATATATAGATTTGTATGAGGATTTACGTTTTGAAAGTTACCAAAATGTTTCTAAGTTTCATTAATGTACCTGTTTTTAAATAATTGAATTAAAACTTTTCAGTAAAAAATAAAGACTGGCGATGTTTTCAACAGATGCAACAAAGCTGATTTTTTAGCAGCCATCTTGTTTAAGTTTTTTTTTTTTGGTAAAATTATAGTTAGAGGTTCAGGGGAAACCACTCTAACTTACAAATGGCCGCTGTTTATATAGTAAATCTAGCTCGCAAACACTACTGTTTAAAGTTAATTTCTGGCCTATATTGATACATTTAGCCATTGATTTTGGTTTATTATTCAATTATCTATAATATTGGACACAAATATATAGCAATATACTTCTATTAAAGCCTTAACAATGAGGCAACTTTTTTGCACATTACTAGCCTCTGCCGATTTTACGCACCTAATACGATAGATTACCATGAGATGAATAACTAACAAATAAAAAATAAAAATAATTAGGGCCTAAAAATAATTTTATTAGTGATAGGTAGGCCAAGTATAGACTCTCCTTCTACTTTTTATTTAGTATTTAGATGTAGACTCTCGATCTTGTATCATAAAAGTAAATTAATAATTATTAGGCCTAGGCCAAATTATTTAAATTAGCCTAAGGCAAGGACAACACCAAGTTGAGAATCCTTCCACTGCCATTGTTGATTGTTGCTGTCATTTTTGACAATATTGACATGGATAAAACATGGTGGTTTTTTTTTAAGATTTTGCCATCAAAGCAGCCATAAAAAAATAAATAAAATTTAGAAATTTAGGTTAAAATTAGGCCTAAATATTCATTGTGTGATGCAAAGTCCATAGTAAAAAATTTTTACTGGGCAGTGACTGGTAAAAAGCACCCCCAATCTTTCCAAACCTTTGTATAAATGAAGGGGGTGCAAAATGGATAGTTCACATTGTGCACCAGAATGTTTCTCTACGCCTCTGATACTTGACTCGCCAGAATCTTGATTCTTGAACCTAGATCTTAGAGAGAAAATCTAGCTCTAGAACTAACTACTACTAGTAGATTTTTTCAGCAGTGGCAGAGGATCAAAGATATAGATTTTAATAATATTTTAATAATACTTTATTAATAAGAATATATGCCTAATCAACTTATTAAATATTCCATCAAGATTGGAGTCACTTCAATTTGAGCTTTACACCCATTTATCAAGTCACGAATTAGAATCTAATAACAAAACAAGATGTCGTCCCCTGAAGTTGAACGTTTTGAAATGTCAGATTTTGACTACAACCAAATATTTGACCCTACAAGTGCCAGTCGGAGACGTCAGACTAAAAATCAAGCCACTTATGGTAATGTTATATTATTTTATGTTTAAAAATAAGGGGCTATAGAATAATCACATTACATCTTAAAAACTAGTAGCTTTTTCTGTTTATATATTTTACCATAAATGTAGTTGGCAATTTAGCAAGACACACAACCCCTTTTAGTATATAAAAAAACAGGTAAAATCCCCTACCTTTTAAGAGCTTCAGGTATTGAAAGTGTCAGTTTTAGAGTAGACATAATGATAAATATAGCTAAAACATTCTTTTATCTCTTTCTTTACTAACTTTTATGATTTCCTCCAGGTATTTGGGCCACCAATGAAAGTGATGAAAGTGACTCAGAGACACCTGGGCTAGGGGGAGGTGGTCACAAAAAGAAAGCTCAGAGTAAAGGTGTCGCAGGGGGAATAAGTTTTATTAGTGGGGGATATAAAGAAGAGGAAGAGAAGCAAAATAAATCTTCAAAAGAGCTTGTGAGTAATAGTTCTTACCAATAAATTAAGGTTTTAAAACTATTTAAAAAAACACAAATAAAAAACAAACATTTGAAGGTCTGAAACATAAAACACATTTTTTTTTAATATTGTAATGATCAACTTTGGACAAATAAAAACTGGTGCTGACAATACAATTTCCTTCGTTTAAGTAATAGAAACAGGCATACATGACTGGCTGGCAACAATTTTTTGATAAATAAATCAATGTTTCTAAATCCAGAATTCACAACCAGTTTATAAACAGCTGTTCACACATGACATGGTTACTAGTCTTTTACTCAAAAAAATTGAGTTGAAATTAAATATTGTGTGTACATTGCATGCATATTGATGTTGTTGAAGGTTGAGGAATCCTGGATCAAGAAAAAGAAAGGTTCTGGTATGGAAGCTCCTAGCCCTATGCCTCGTTATGTCAAGGGACACCAGAGGGACATGGAAAAGTGAGTGTAATTTGCTAGTCTACATCAGCACTTTTGTCCTTCATGTAATTACTGATATAACCCAATGGCTTTTATTAACTTATGAAAATAATAGAAAATTTGAACATAATTTAAATTTAAAGGCTATAATGCTTCCTTTTTTAGTGACAAAAATATTTACTTAATACAAAATTTTTGAATTATAGTATACTAGATATTGATCATTATAAGTGGATCTTCGTTATCCTCATTTGCTTATCAGCATTTTTTTAAATATTGGCAATTGTGTATGAGGTTACTAATGATCCAATTTGTTGTTCCCTTCAACAGAGAATTCGGAGCCTGGGAAAAATATACAAAAGGTATTGGGCAGAAATTGCTGCTAAAGGTAATATGATAGCTGTTACATAGGGGGAGTCTATAAATTAACATTACATCTTCTAAAAAGAAACATTCATTGTGAACTAACTACATATATTATTTAGTACATCAAGTAATATTTTAGGCTGTAGCCATGAAACAGGTTATTATTGATAATTTATATTTTCATTTGATGAGATGAGTGTCTTTTTAGTACTTTATCTGCAATACTAGAAACAAGAACATGAAGTTTGACAAAAAAAATGAAATGAAAGTAAAAGTTGTCTATCTTTTATCTCTAGTTTGGCTACAAACCTGGAGAAGGTCTAGGCAAGTCTGGTCAGGGTATAACAACTCCTGTTGAAGCTGTCAAGCGTAAAGGTAGAGGAGCCGTAGGTATTAATGGGCCTGAGAGATCAGAGAGGTCTCTGCAAGATTTTCCTGTAAAAGATGAAGAGGAGGAGGAAGAAAAAGAGTTCCAGAAACAGCTCTCTCAGTGGAAGAAACAACCACTAGAGGTAAATCAGTTATTAAAATAACGAGGAGAACTTAATGCATGTTTATATATTTTAAATGATTGTTATTGTAGAAACAAAATATAGATGTTAATGAAATAGAGTAACAAAATTGTTAATGTATTTTTGAATTCATGAGTTTTAATTGCTGAAGTAATTCATATATTTAAAGTGATATTATGAGTTTTCAGTTAAGTAAAATCTGAATCCTTAAAATGCCCTTTTAATCAAACATGTTATAGCTTTGCTTAAATTATTTCAACAGTTTGGTCTGTTTTACATAAGGTAAAGTAGTTAATTTTTAGTGCAACTTGTTGCCTATATTCTCCAGGGAAAGAAACAGAAGCCCAAATATGTTTACAAAACTGCCCAGGAAGTTCTTGAGACTGGAGGAAAGCGACGTAAGCCAATCACAGGGATGGGGCCAAAGGTCAAAGTTATAGATATGACAGGTCGTGAGCAAAGAGTTTTATCAGGTACTTTTTGTTACAGCAATCGCTTCCCTTATTTAGTTCAATTTTTTATATCTCGGGTTTGGTTTACTTTACTTTTCTAAATATTGAATTATACTGATTTTTTTCTGTTTACCCCAACAGTGGTTGAAAAGTTATTTATATTGTTTCTTGTGTTCTATTTCTTTTAATAAATTTTTGTTAGTCTTATATTTTTATTTAAAATATTGATAATTTGTTAAGTTAGTTTTTTTATTTTCAACTTATTTTCTTATTAAATTACTTTTTCCTTAAGCTATTGAGTTTTTATTTTCCCAATTTATTTATCGTTGCATTTTGTCAGTTGTTGTTACTTATAATAAACTTTGTGATCAGGTTATCATGCCATCGGCAAAAGTCACGATAAACCAGATGAGGCTGAAGAACTTGTGGAGCAGGAGCCTGTGGTCAAGGAGAGAGCCTTCAGCATGCCAGAACTGATGCACAACATCAACATACTGGTGGAGATGGCAGAAGATGACATCATACACAACGACAGAAGACTGAAGTATGACCGCGACCAAATTGTGAATCTGCAGCATGAGAAAGATCGTCTGGAAACAGTTGTGAGTCAGGAAGAGCAGCAGCTTAAAAGACTGCAGACTGTCATGGATTTGGTCATTAGGTGAGTTTTAAAACAAATTTTTAAACTTAAAGCCAAATTTTTTGCTGGTATTTGCTGCCATTCTCTAATAGAAAACCCCAATTGGTAATATTCAAAGATTGTTTTTGGTGAGATAATGAGGGTAAAAGCTTTTGGGTAAAATACTCAGGTTTGTCTGTAGGACTTCACCCATATTTGATAGGTACCTGACTTTATATCTAAGCTGAAGAAAGGCAGCAAGGCCTATTGTTACATGTCATTATCACAGAAACAGATGAACTCTACTTTTTTTACCATAAGTTGCTAGGTCTTAGTGGTCAGTGTGGTTGCCTTGTAGTTTGTTCTTGGTTGGACAAAGGCTATGGAAGCAAATCCAATAAGAAAAGCAGGCTGAAATCTGAGTCAACGGCCTATATGGCGCATAACCAGTTGACATGTACTACTTAATTGTGTTGGAGGGAATCTCTTCCAACACTAAATTAAGTAAGAAGAAGAAGAAGTTAAGTCTTTAAGTTTACTTTTGACTGGCTACACTTCACTTAATTTAATTGCTCAATTTTTAAGCTGTGAGAATAGAACCAAGCCAGAATGCCCTGACCCTCTTACACTGGACTCATGTGCAGAAATCTTCAAAATGTTGCAGCAAGATTATTACGAAGAGTACAAGATCTATGACTTGCCATCATTAGCAATTGCCCTCATATTTCCTCTTGTGAGTATAAGGATAGGCAATAAATAGGAAAGCCATATCATATGTTTCAAAAAAAAACTTTGCTGTAATCATTTAGGAAAAAAAACTTTGTATAAAACTTTTAAAAAATGAGATCTTAATTAATGAATGGTTATTTACATAATGCATATTGAAAACATGTATTATTTCGAGTTCATTTGAATAATAAATTCATTAATGATACTTTTCCATGCCAAAATACTACCAGTAAATAAAAAACGACTATGAAATGTAATTTTTCTCATGAATCTTAGAATACCCCATCTCTGGTTTTCAGATGAAAAGTTTTTTTGCTTGTTGGTTGCCCTTGAGAGATCCCCAGTATGGGCTTATGACAGTCATAGAATGGCAGCTACTGCTTGGGGCAGATGAAAGTGCAATGGTCAGCAGAGATAGAGGACAAGAGCAGACAAGCATGGATGTCTACCAGAAGCTGATCTGGGATGTGTGGCTACCCCCTGTTAGAGCTACTATATTGTAAGTTGCTTTTATCAGATTTGTCCTTACAGTTTATGCTGTTATTCTTCATCACATTGTAAAGAATTAGGCCTTTGCAATGTTGGCTGGTTTAGTTATAAATACGTATCATTGTACCTCCAAATGTTTAATATTAATATTATTATAAGTTTATTGACTGGACTATACAAAATTGTAACACAGAATTCTCATGTTGGCATCATTTGGGATCATAGTTAGGCAACGATTTAGCAAAATTAAATTTTCTCAGATACTTCCTGCCAGCATTGATTAAGTACCCTTAATAAAACTTGTTACTCCTCTGTTTTGTATGCGGCCGATCTAATTAATGGGTTTTAAAAAGTATAAGAGTTTAAATATTAAAAGTTCCCATTTCGAACCTAACAGTCCACAGGGGAAGTGAAGTACAGATCATCTGTTTTTGTTACCAACACATTATTTGCTGTGTATAAATTATGTTGTTTTATTTTGAAATCTCTGTCTCAGGAAATGGAATGTTCGTGAAACAGATGCAATGATTTCATTGCTTGAAGCATGGAAGCAGGCCCTCCCCCCTTGGATACTGGAGAACATCCTTGACCAGCTTGTTCTGCCCAGACTCCTCCAGGAGGTTGAAAACTGGAACCCCCTGACAGACACCACACCCATACACTGCTGGCTTCACCCCTGGCTACCACTCATGGGTTCGTTGGCTTTCTCATTGCTCAACTACATTTGATATCTTTGTTGTCAAAGAATAGAACATAGATTTTAAGCTCACTCTTGTGACAACAATTATTTACAAACTCAGGCAGATACATTTCTTTTGTGTCACACCCAATGTAATTTTTTTAAATGGGAAAAATCTCTAAAAACATAATTTGCACATTTTTTTATTCAACAGAGTTATCACTATTTACTATTGTACAAAGCCATTTTATATGCAATTTTAAATGTTTTATTTAAAAAATTGCTTTGTAGAAGTCAAATGTTAATAAAAGATTTTATTTCAGTTTAGTTTTATTATACATTTAAAAAATTCTTTATTAAATAAATTAATTTTCCAGGCGAGAAGCTAGAGCCCCTCTATGCTCCCATTCGACACAAGATAGCTAACGCTTTGATCAACTGGCATCCTTCTGATGGTTCAGCAAAGATTATTTTAGAACCCTGGTTTGGAGTTTTTCGTCCTGGTCATATGAGTGCTTTCCTGGTCAAAAACATACTTCCCAAGTTAGAGTTAGAAATTCAAGGGTTGACTATAAACCCACACCAGCAGTTTTTAGGTAAATAAATGTTTAATATGGCTGTTAAGCTGTTGTAAAATAAGTGGTTAATTATTATGCATGATTTATTTTTTAATTTTTAAAATACTATCTTTGTATTCAAAGGGTTGAAATAATATTTTTGTGCCTTTTTTAAACAGATCCATGGAGGTGGGTTATGTCATGGAAAGACATGATGCCTATGCAGTCCATGGTTAATATGCTAGAAAAAACATTTTTCCCAAAGTGGCATCAGGTGCTGATTGCCTGGTTGTCAAACATGCCCAACTATCAGGATATTACCAAGTGGTATCTTGGGTGGAAATCCCAGTTTCCAGAAAACTTGATAGGACATCCTTTAATTAAAGGTGATTGGTATTGTTTTTTTAAAATATACATATAGTACAGTAAATGGAAAGATACTGCGCACAAAAAAGTGTGCAATGACTTTTTTGTCTTCTAAAGTTAGCATTGTAGTATAAGAAAACATATTTCCTCGAAATATAACAAAACAAAGTGTATTAGTTTAATTAGTTTGTATTTGCGCTTTTTTCTGTTTGTACATGTTTGTACAGTATTCTATTGCACAGTTTTCCAATTGCACAATTTTTTCTGGGAACCATATTGTACATAAGGAATTTAATATAGGTTTTAAAATGTAGCTAATATGAAACAAACTGAACTAACTATAAATATTGAATAATTTAATCTATGCATTATGTACATCTATTATAATCTTTTAGCCATGTTTTTATTTGTAATTCAGAACAGTTCAACAAAGCTCTAGAGATCATGAACAGAGCTGTCTCTGGCACTTTTGTGCCTGGCATCAAAGAAAACATGGCTTATTTCACACATGCTGAAAGAAGGATCATGGACTCTAAAGCAGCACCAGTGATGGATTCTAGGGTTGAAAATGAGGTTTGTGTACATAAGGTGTGACCAGATAATTTTATTCAACAATTTAGGCAGTTAACTAAAATACCAGTATGTGTGCTAGAAAGTGTTACTCTGCTGGTCTGTTGTGTTAATATTGTCACATTCTTAGCCTGAGTTATTTTGTTTTAAACTTATGTACATAATTTGTTTACATTTGTCTCAGACCCCAGTGGTAAAGGTTGCAGGAGCTAGTGGAACTGTACCCACAACTTTCAAAGATCTTGTTGAAAGAAGGGTAAGTAAACAAGTTATATGAATTCACCAGATTAAAATTAATGCATTTCATTTTAATTTTTAAAAAATGGTTACAATTTATTCCTAACAACTATGCTAATTTTAAAATGTGTGTGTTAGTGATCTTGATATGCCCATATTAAAATCGTATTTTACACTTATAGGCTGAGCAAGAAGATTTGTTGTATATACCCATGTCTGGGAAAACACAGGAGGGCAAGCAGGTCTACAGATTTGGTAAAGCATCTATTTACTACGACCACAACGTTGTCTTTATGCTAGATGCTAACGGTCGATGGCTACCCACCTCACTCAACACTTTAGTGGCTGCTGGAAAATAAAAACTATGAAATTTTCTTTTACATGTTTGTACATATTATCAAATGTAAATAACAATCAGATCCTGTAAATGAATCTTTGTAAATTGAAATGCAATTTGTTTGTTAAGTCTAAAATTATTTAATTATGTAAATAAATCATTTTTTTAAAAACAGTCTTTTTGTTTTTTAATTTAAGTAAAAAGGATGGTGTAGCTCAATAATATTTAGGTCAAATACAATGCTGCAAAAGATTTCTACAATTTAAGTTTAACAAATGTTGACAATTTGAAAAAAATGGTTTCCTCATGGCAACAATGCTTGTTTAGTCTGACCATGTCATATTACTTCCCCCCAGCCCCTGACTTGGTAAAGAAATAAACAATACAAATGAATTCTTATAATTTTATTCGAGATGAAATAATTTATAAATAAGATGAACAACTTCTGTATCATGTACACAACAGTATTCCTCGAAGTCAAATGTGATTTTTAAAGAAAAATGAATAAGGCGTTTTGGTCTATGAATAACATCTGTCATCAATTCAAACACATGTAGGCCTATGTGTACATTTAAGTTGGTAAATATTTCAAATACCTTTACACTTATGGCCAGTAACACATCTAGATGGATAGCCAATAACTAATTGGGGTTCTTCTTGTTCGTTAAAATTTGACATCTTTTTACCAACTAGCAGGTCAGCACAAAAAAAGTTCTGTATAGCATGCGCATTACATATTTAATTAAATGTAGGAAAAATTTATTCTAATAAATAATCACAATTCACTAATAAAAAACATTTAAAACAGGAGGGAATTATTTTTCATCTGTCTATATTGCAAATACATTTAAACAAAACTTTAAAAAACACAAAATTAAAAGATGAAAAGAAAAAAAAAATGAAAATGGAGTGGTTGTTTATTTTGTTGAAAGACAAGATGAATCTCATAAAAAAAAGTAGTTACTAGATATTTTGGGAGAGTTGGGTTTTCACTGAATGTTTTGCTTATGAGTGGTGTACTGTAAATGTAATGTGTGAAAAAACATGTAGAACTTGAGATGTGTAAACAGCATCATTACAAACAGAACAGGTTCAGATGAATTCATAATCATTGCAAAAATATATATTATGAACATACACTGACACAAGTGGTAAGATAGCTGTACATACAACATTAAGGATAACCATTAAAAGAGATACAATCTTACTGAAACAGACGCCTGTTTATTTTACACTTTTACTACAAAAAACATGTCATAATATGTTTGTAGATGTACCACATATTATGAACAAAACAAATATTTTATACAATTATTATACTTAGGCTGAGTTTGTATTTAAGAATCATTATAACATACTTAATGGACTTCAATCATACTTGATGTATTCAAAGAGTAAATTATACAGTAGGTCAGTTTTTTCATAACTGGTTAAAAAGAGAATATGCTAAATAACTTACATCATATACTGAGTAGTAAAGTATCCTAATTATATTTCTGTTTTACAGTGACATTGGAAACAACTAGATTTTTATAATATCTTATGTTTAGAAGCTTTGTTCCATCTTCTAAATAGCAAATAACTTTTACAAATGTAAACACAATGACCAAAAGAGCCAATTATAGGAACATTTTATTGGCAACCTTTTACCGTATCTGCTTTTTACATTGGTGATTCATAAAATAATACGACAAACAAATGTGTACTTGAATTATAATTTAGATTCATAATGAAAATATCTAACAATGTAAGACGAAGTTAAGCTTTCTAGAATACAGAATTTAAAAAGGCTTTTCTTAGCTGCAAAATATAACAACACTGAGTCTAATAGTAAAAGTATATAAAAACCAGCGACAATCACTCACATAAAAAAAAGCTTACAACACACTTATAATTCACATCACCATCAACACAATATCATCATACAGCTTGAAAAATTAAATGCTTAATAAATTGGTGTTGTATCATCTGTTTTGGTAGATTAAGTTTAGTAGTTTGGGTTAAATACTGAGCATGGCCTTCTGACAATTCAAAGCATTTTTCAAACAGATGTAACTAAATAGATAAATGATTTTTAAAAAAATTCTGGCCGAATTTAATATTACACAGGATCTGCAAAATCCTTACATAATGTATTGACACCTTATATACCTAAATCTAAAAGCTTTATAAAGCGACTATTGGTAAAAAAAAAAAACCAACCAAACAACAGGAATGTCAGTAGCTGACATGCTAGTTTTTCTCATTCTAGATTTTAAAAATACCAAATCAAAAAGTAAAGTAAACAACAATAGCTTATTACATCCTAATATTTAAAGAGGATGAACAATTATTAATGTTGCTCACTCAAAGTTTACACACATGAAAATTACAAGAGAACCATATCACATAACCTCTTTAGCTCTAGTATTACATAGCATCAGTTGGAATATTTAAGGCAAGAAAGTGTGTGTTAGCCACAACATCCAGATTTTGGTGGTGGCTGTTCTGTTGAATCGTCTACAACTAAAACTTGATTCTTTCTAGTACTGCCCGGCCTTCCTTTCGCAACATTTTCTTCTGACTTTTCTATCATGTCTAAAATTGTAAACATAACAGGTTGATACAATGGAAATAATTGAAAAAGTGTTTTTGGTACAAACAGTTGTTGGGTTATAAAGGGCAACTTATTAACAACACAGTAATTAATACTACTAATAATACTAAAATTCTGTTTGTCATCCAACAATTATTTTTATTCCTAATAAAATGAGAAGGGGTTAGTCTGCTTACTTTTACTCAAGTCTAAAAACATCTCTTCAATGCCTCGTCCCATTTTCGCAGAGGTGTGAAAATGTTTTGCACCCACAGAAGCTGCATATCTGTGCATGAATAAAAGCAAACAAAATCCTTAAAAACAAAACTTGCAATTTTCTAAATAAATTGTAATTAAAAATTATTCTATTTCATAAGTAATTGAAATGAGTAGTTATAATCTTCAGTAATTATATTCAACATAAAGCATTTTACATTTTTTATTTTTGTCAAACTTAATTTTAAATATCTAAATACTTACGACTCTGCTTCTTCGACTGTAACATTGCGACTTTTTTCTAAATCTGTTTTGTTTCCAGCTATACATAAACAGACCTCTTGTCCAAGCATTCGTCGAAGTTCTTTAACCCAATTTTTCACCTACATTAAAGAATTATTTATTTATACAAACACATCTAAACTTCCTAAGTCAGAAGATTGATACTGGCTGAGTAGGCCAACTGTGTTGCTATTCAGTCCAATTCAAGTAATAAATATTTACAACTACATTTTAAGCAGTCCTTTTAGCTAATTTTAATGTATAAGTAATTATCAGACCCAATTAAATCTAATTAAACATAGGATTTTATTATAATTTCTGTTAAAACGAGTTAACAGTGCATATGTAACACTATAAACTTGAACTATAAAATCATATTTAAATTACTCTGAATTCATCAAGATTGACTAATTCAAGTAATTCAATTTCATAGGTACACACCTTTTGAAAAGAGTCTTCGTCTGTAATGTCATACACTAATATAGCCCCATTGCTATCTCTGTAGTAAATAGGTCCCAAGGCATGAAACCTTTCCTGACCTGCTGTGTCCTAAAGAAAGCAACAGCAAACAGTTTTATTTTATGAATTGACATGGTTATAAATAAAACGTTGCAGAAGCACAGGATCTTACAATATTCATTATTTTATCGACCAATAATAAACCTACCCAAATTGCAAGATTTACTCGTTTTCCACCAATGTTGAGTTTCTTATTTAAAAATGAAGCCTGAAAAGAAATCAATTGATAATTAATCAGGAAAATGAGAAGGCCATTGCTAGCACACTTTGCTTTAAATAGACATAAAACATAACTTTTATATTATTTCTGAATAATATATTCAACAGCTATTGTAATAAAATATTCAATACTATTGTTCCAATAATAAATAGCTTAAGCCTAATAATAACATTTTTAATAAGTAGAATTTTATTATAATAATATAGGCCTAATAATATTTGAATTTCTTAAAGTAATTAGCATCACTGTTAATCTCAGTGGACTGAAGTAATGTGTTGGAATGTCTTACATGTGACGAAAATAATTAATTTAAATGTGGCTACAGGTAAAAAAAAAAAAAGGTACTATACTAGTAGTAGTAAAATTAGGTTTAATAATTTAGTTCCATTTAGGTTATGTTTGACACAATGATAATTTGAGTTCAGCTGGGTAATGTTAAGATGATGGTTAAAATATGACCAATGTTAGATTTTCAGCACAACCAAGGAACACTATTTGGACACAGCAATAACTTTTGGTCTATATTTACACATTTAAAAAAAAGTAATTTAATGTAGTTTAAAGCTTTTATGTGGTTCTGACTTTTTTTTCTTGTGGATTTGCTAATAATTTGTTAACTTTTTTTTATTAAATAAATCCCAATAATAATTCTAAATATTCCATGATACCTAAATACCCAAAATCTAATATCAAATGATATGTGGCAGCATGACAGAGTGGAGTAAATGACTAGTAATCCCTAAGTTTCTGGTTTGAAACTGACGTCTGTCCTGGATATTTTTGTTCTTAGTGCAATTAGTGCACAGGTAAATGCTCGGATAAATATAGCTGATTCTGACTTATCAGACCTAGTGGGTCTGAATAGTGTGGACAGACAGCAGCCCCAGTTTATTTTTATTTCAGCCCATTAACATTTAACCCCCTCCCCCATTTGCTTATTATAAAACAAGCCTTAAAGCCCAACACACTTCCTTTGAGCGCGACAGCCTTCACTTAATTATTAATATGTGTTAACCACCCAGGTTACATTATAGTAATAGTGATTATAGGCTGATATGGTACAAATTTGTTTTACTACCCTAATTGTCAACATCTTTGGTAATTTTGTGAACATTCTTTGCACTGCAACTAAAAATTCTCAATTTGCATTTTGCTACCTCTTAGTTAGGAAGTGTGGCCATGCTAAAAACTTTGCATCATATGCTTCTTTTAAAGAATCTTTATTAATACCGTATGTGGATCTAGAACCAGCAGGTCCACAAGAAAAAAGTCACAACAACATTAATAAAGGTAGGCTCCTAGAAATCTTAATAGGCTATAGGTACCTAATGAATGTTTAAGTAAAGACCAAGCATAATGCTGTTTCATGGTTAAAGTAAACTGACCCTGGTCAGAATAGCATCTGTATTAGTTTTAGTTTAGTTAGGCCTAACAAGTTAGTAGGCCCTATTCTTAGGCTAACCAAATGATGATGATCAGAACTCAGTCTCATACATGAGAATCACTGATACATGCCAATACTCAGTCAATACTGCCCAATACAATATTCCGATTATTCAATACATAGAAATCTACATAGATCTAGATTAGATCTACATGCATGGGCCTAACACTTACAACAGGCCCTAAAATAATGAATTTTAACAGTTTAAACATGTTCGTGTTATTACCTGCAATGTCGTTATATGTTTATCGTTAAATTTGTTTTCACAATATCTTAATACTAAGGATGTTTTTCCAACACAACCCTCTCCAAGTAATACAACTTTAAAGTTAAAGTTACGGCCCCCTCCTGCTGCTCCTCCAACTGAGGCCATGACTAAATAAAATGTTACACAGTGACGTGTAGATCAAGATCTACCTTTGTTTAAATTACAATTTTACATTTAAAATTATGATATAACTGTATGTCTGATTATATTTACTAAGAATGTATAGATCAAGCAGTTTTTAATTTTCTATGCTTTAAAGGATTCGATGATGAGAATAAACATGACAGTGACAGTCAACAAAATAGGGGAGACTGCTCAAACTTCGACCGATTCGTTTTCGTCCGGTCCGTAGGTTCGCTTCTCTTCGTTGTAACTCGTAAGCTAATCAACATAGCGGTTTCATTTTTTCACTATTAAAAACGTTATCATTTGCTGATTGGTTCAGTATAAATAGTTAACCAATCACAAGGGAGAATATAAATGCTATATGCAAGGCTAGACACTGACCCCACTTCGTTCTGTTTGGTTTTAACTTCGACCGGGTTGCTCTAACTTCGACCAGCGGCTTGCTCTAACTTCGACCGCTATAAGCCTATATATACATTATTGTTTTATTCATATGGGAAAAGGCTTAAAATTGTAAATAGATTAGGGCATTATAATAAACAATATGCAGATCTATATTATGGTACAAATGATATTTAATTTGTAGAAAATAGAGACGCAATAATGATATTTAAACCAGCTGGAGATGGGACAGAAAGGGCAGGATGGGGACATAGATCGTTAGGTCCTTCAATAATTATGTCATCTTGTGTTGTTTTTAGTTATATTTAAGTATAATGAAAAAGAAATGCTCAGCTGATTAAATTATTTAATAAAACTATAGATAAATGTGATAGTACATGCAAAGTTATGTTTTAGGGTCAAGTTTTTCAGTCGGTCGAAGTTAGAACTATGCCAATTTCAAGTGGTTTTAACTTCGACCGATTTATTTTTCAAATTTATTTTTTACATTTTTGTTTAAATGTAAAAAATAAAAATACACACATATAGGACTGCCTTTTTTACAAACGCTTTTTTAATTTTTTAAATTTTATTGTATGAATTAATTGTAATTTGAGCATTGTGAAGCACGACACTCCTAAGACAGCAAAATCTCAATTCGTGATTTTCACGTGATAAAATTCACTGACGAGTTGTGCCTTATATTTGCCGATCAGAAGCGCAGAAACGGTTAAAAATAGACATGACCTTAAAAAAAGAAAATCCCCCACAATTCAAATATGTTACTAAATATATAATTTATTTTGTCCAATGGCAATTATTAAATTTTTAATAATTTTTTTTTCTGACCATACTAAGAAATCGGTCGAAGTTAGAACCCGGTCGAAGTTAGAGCAGTCTCCCCTAGTCAGTATCAAGTGCTTCCTCTTTTACACTTTCTACGTCACTGATCACGAGTACAGCGCTTAAGCTAAATACAAAAATAAATATTAGTAGATATTTTAAAGATTTATAAACCATTAACATAATAAATTAAGGTCTCTTTTTTATAATATTTTTAAAAATCAAATAAAGTATTAAATGTATACAATATTAACTATAATTTTGTTTATTCATGTCTATTTTGGTATGGGACACAATTTGTAAAAACCGGAAACGGGACGTAATTTTCCAATCATAACATAAGTTTACTTATTGAATGATGACTAAACTTAAAGTAAAACCCAACTCGGAAAAGTTTTAATTCCTCATTCTTGATCCGAATGGCTTCACAAAATCAAGTAGGTTAAATATCTTTATCCTGTGTTATATATAGAGTCTAGATCTATCTAATTCTAATCTATAATTAATAATTAATTATTATCTTCATATGCCGCCTATGCAAAATAATTGAAAATTAAAATAAAATCCAAATCAAATCAAATTGAAATGATATAAAAGAACACATCATTAAAAATTTAGATTCTAGATCTAGAATCTAGATTGATCTAGACTACTAATAAAAACAGGCCCTAACGGTAAATGTAACACGGATTGTTCTGATTGAATATTGAAAATGATAGGCCTACTAACTAAAAAATAAAAATAAAACATTTAGGGCCTAGTGAATAGTGACTAGTCTGTTAGTCACTGTTAGTGTGTGAAGTGTTAACTACTTACTAAAAATACTGGTAAAATCTTAGTTTAGCGTCGTAAATTCGGCCAAAACTAGTAATGTGGGAGAGAGTGAATTAATGAATATGTCATTAAATATGAGTATATTTTCGTATATTTTGATAAAGTATTATAGACAATTGAATAATAGATCACCATTGATGGTTAAATCAATTTAAATATCCTGAAATTAATTTTTATCAACCCTGTTCGAGATAGTAAATTTGCTATTAAAAACAGCAGCCATCTTAAGAAAATGTTATTGAGAGTAGCTTCCCTTTCATTTCTATTCATATGAAAATGTATTTAAATATGATCGTCTTGTTGTATAGTCCATATTACAAAGCATTTTTTTAAAATGTGAATTTCCTAACAAACAACTTTATTAATTCTAGAAGCATTGTGAGATGCAACTTGTATCCATGTATTAAATCACGTTTTTTTTTAAACTAATGTTTATTTGATCTTACTATTACTAAATAGTTGTGAGTTTTTTCTTATTGTTATAATAGGCTTGTCGGTATCGGCCGAGATCGCGGTAAAAACATGACCCGAAATCTCCCATTACTTTCTGATACCGGGCGCACGAGATTTAGTTTTGCATACTAATAAGTTTTTAATTTATGGTAATTAATTAAGTTTAAAAGGTCATTTCCTAATGTTAAATGAAAAGTAGAATGGTTTTCCAGTTGTTTTGATGGCTTAGCGATCTGATTGCATGCTGTCTCTGCTTTGGTCTTACCGCGGTATAAAGGTTAACTTCAAATGCTTTAAAAACGCGATTTTTGAAAAGTTTCCATTTAGATAATGAAAGTTTCCAAAGCAGATACATCCCATTTTTATAGAAATGATATTTATTTTTGGATATTTTGACTTTGACATTAGTAAATACTCATTTGAAAGTAGTCACCGTAAGTAGGTCACGTTGCCCCCATTGACTCCAATGTTATATTTCTTCATCCCGATCTGCCGGCTTTTAGTTTTGATACACTAACAACAGTATTCTTATGTAATGTACAAACAAATCTCCTACTTGTTGTTTTAAACATATTTTAATATAGATCTACCTGTCTTTCATTTTTTCAACTCTGGTTCTAGTTTTGCTTGAAGTAAAATTTTGCTGAGTCAGACATAGGTTACCTGTCTGTTGCTAGAATACACTACACTAGCTATGTGCTAACTGTAATTTTAAGTATTCAAGTTGTACTTACCCTTACTTAGTTATATTTATATGCTGAAAATCAGAATTCATACAAAATACACACATAAAAACATTGATCAGATAACTTCAGTTCACTTTTAACAAAATGGCTTAAAGATAGACTCTACTTCACCTGCCCAAAATAATAAGGCAATTATATGCACATTACAGTGTTCAAGTCATTTACTTTAGATTGCTAACTATGTAGTTCTTTCATTCACTGTATTTATATAAAGCATTGCTTTAGAAACTTTTTCATATTTGCGCAGCACAGTTTTATAACAAAATGTCTTAAAGATGGACTCTACTTCACCTGCCCAAAATAATGGGGCAGTTATATGCAGTTATATGCACATTTCAGTGTTCAAGTCATTTACTTTAGATTGCTAACTTTGTAGTTCTTTCATTCACTGTAAAACATTGCTTTAGAAACATTTTCATATTTGCGCAGCACAGTTTTTTTGGGGTTATGGAAGGAAGCCAACACAAAAATATACTTCTGTATTATTTTTATTTATTTCAACAGCATATACAAGTTCTATATATCATTCTAGCTCAACTCTGCAAATATGAACAAAATACAACTGCAAGTAAAATAACTATGCTCAATTTATTCAGGTATACCATGACTTGTCACAATTGGCCAATGCAAAAGCAAGGGCATTCCACCCCTCACAAAAAAATTCGCTAAAAAAAAACTATTTGAGCTAGACAGAAAATCTTTTTTGTTTTGTTTTCATATAGTTGAGCTCTACAAGAATATGTAATTTTTATTTTTATATGATGATTAGTGTTTTTTTACCAAAATCCCTAGTTATAATGTTCACTATTTTCATTTCAGTTTCAGGTTTTTCTTTTCATCAATAATAATTATTAGTAATTCTATCGTAACTTATGACATTTTTTTTTACTTCTCTTTACCTTAATTAAACCCCAACCTCCGTCATATTTTTGTCGTCAATGTCACATCAAGTCATAATGTAAAAAATTACGCTTCACTCTGCCTTATCTAAGATCTCTAACCATAATTTTGACAACATTAAATGTTTGTCATCATTTATATATACAGAGAGACAAAATGTATTATCCACCAGCTTCCCTCGTAAAACATCATCTAAAACAATGAGCCAGTCCACCCCTTAAGTGCGTGTTGTCATTATGGTCGATCGCAAGTCTCCACCTGCCAGACACATGTTGGTTATCCTTTGTTGTCAAATTGTCAATATCAAGTACACAAGTGAGTGATATGGGGTTGTCCATAAAAGATGTCACATATGATTTGCTACGGGAGTGAGTGAAGATTTGTGACGTCAACTCAGGCGGCTTTGCAATTTATGACGTGTCGGTCTCATGAACGGAGGTGAACGGGGAAAAATACCTAGATGGTTGATGGAGAATCCTATAATGCTTTGTTCAATCAAAATAACGATAAATAGGCATTAGTATATGTATACCTTGCTTAAAACGAATCATTACAAATGTTGCAAGCCTGCTAGTTTAAGACATTCGGCAAACCGGCCGCAACACATTATCCCCGTCAAAAAGGCTTGCCACCAAATGCCTGCCGACGAATAAGCCGCGTCTAATGCGGGGCGTTAGGAATACGGCCATTAGCATGGACCGCGTTAGAGCACCGGTAGGCTATCGCGCTTTGTAAGATGACGTAAATACTTAAATTTAAATTCAATTTCGCTAAACTGCGCGAAAATTTAGTAATGTTCCATCGTTTGAGGAAATTTATTTTCTTGGACTTAAACTTAAATTGAAATATCATGTTGACTGTCTGGCTCTTAATTTCCGAATATCACTTTTAATGTATCAAGATTCAGATCTATAATTTACTTTAATATAAGTGTCATCTTATCGTTTATTGTAGTTTTTATAAAGCGCAGAGCAGCTTCAAAATCGGACGGCCATCCTGTTTTCACCAAGCTTCTTTTGGAGCTTAATATGGGTAGTCTAGTTCTATACGGTGTGAGCTTAATACATTTTTAAATGCAGAAATAACTACGTACGTTTAAATGGACGAGTGATAGATGTGTTAGGGGCTGTTTAATGAACACCAACTTATGTAATCAAACTAAACGTCGCAAAAGCGTCAAAAAGGCAGTACTTTTTTTTTCTATAAAATTAGCCTAACGGTCGGCGGTACCGCTACATGACGTCACGTGCGAGCGTTAACTCGGTGACGATGTGCTAAGTGGGGGAATGAAAAAGGTAGGGTTCAAGAAATGAGACTCGGCAAGCTTTTTACATTTCTTGACCCTTCTTAATAGTTCTTTCGTCCCCACTGAGAAAATGGATCACCAATGAATGACGCGTCATACTTCTACAGCTGGTCTTTCCCCCACAACCATCCCGTTTTCACGAAAAAAAAAACCTGACCCGTCTCCAAAATCACATCGCTGAGTTCTTCTCAACCTCTCCCAACCACAAATCACAATTTCCATCTGAAACAATATGTTCATATGTTTGCTCTGTAATAATGCACGCTGTCATTACTATCTTAAGAGCGACGTCATTTATGAGCGATCTAATATTGATTTGCTTACTGCAAATAAAGTGTTCAAAAGTTCGACCTCCCAACAATTGTTGTGGTCTTGGATGCACACTATTAAGTCTGATAAGGTCTATTAGTCATTCATGTCAACTATATTAAAAAAAAAAAGAAAAATTACTATACAGGGGGTCATCCATAAATGATGTCACGCTTTTTTGACGATTTTTACCCCCCCCCCCCCCCATCCCCTCCGTCACACGTCGTCACACATCAGCCTACAACCCCCCCCCCCCTCAAAATTGCAGTTGAATTTTTTTTAAACAGCTATATTTTTCCAAAATCTTGTCTGAACTCTGTCAAAATAGAGTATTTTAATCAATTGTTATTACAATGTATTAAAACAGTTTTTTAAAACGCAAAATAACGTCTAAAATTCGTTTTGTAACATTGCTTTTTTAGAATGCAAAAGTGTGACGTCGCACCATCTGAACCCCTCCCCCTCCCCCCACAACGTCACAAAATTACGGACCCCCCTCCCCCCTACGAGTGTGACGTCATTTATGGACGACCCCCCCCCCCCCGGCATATATTAAAACAATACAAAACAATCATATTAAACCACAAAATCAACACAAAAGACATGCGAATAGACAGTTTATTGTTTTTAAAACATGGCCGCTGCTTGTATTTACTCATTGTTGTCTCGAACGGGGTAGTTTAAAGTTTATTCCAGGATATTTTTGACTGGTTTGGTCTTGGATTGTGATTTGTTATTCAATCATCTGTTATGTTATGTAAAATATGACATAAATATGGCCAAATGAAAGAAATATTCATTAGTTACCTTCATCGCACATTACTAGATCTAGCTACGTTGTAATTTACGACGCTAAACTAAGATTTTACCAAAATACTACTATTGGTCACTAGATCTAGACTCTAGATTCTATATCAAGATCTAGTCTAGATCTAAATAAACTAGGACTAGATCTAGCTAGATCTAGACTCTAGTAGTTACTCTGTTCATCTATTCTAGTAATTCTAGTCTAGATTGTAATCTAGACTAGATCTAGATTCTAGATCTATTACTTACTTAGTCTAGAAATCTAAGTATTAGTATATTAGCCTACTGAGTTTGAGTAGAAGTAGATCATGATCAGTTACTAATCATTAGTAGTTAGTAGTAGATCTAGATCTAGTAGTAAGTAAGTAGAGTAGTAGTTTACTCAACTGTCTCTAGATCTAGTAGTGTCTTCTTAAGTGTCTAGTTACTAGTTACCTTTTAGAATTTTAGGGTTATACCTGCATCTAGTGAGAGTCTAGTAGTCTAGTCAAAGTCTAAGACTAGTAAGACTCTAGATCTAGGTAGTACTAAGATATCTCTAGATCTAGGTAATGTCTTGTCAGGTTAGTCTACTCACTATTTGACTTAGTCATCTATTATCTAGATCTAACAAGTGAGTCTGCTACGTCTAGTTAGTATTCTAGTCGAGGATAGTGTGAGTGTACCAACTAGGACTAGGTCACTAGAAGTCACCTTGAGTCTCTAAGACTAACAGTCTTACTCTTAAAGTAACTAGTTAAGATGTAGTCTGGTTAGCTACATTGAACAGATTACAATCAAATCAACAGTTCATTAAATATGATAATTGTAATCTCAGTGCATGCATGAATAAAAATTATTGAGTTCAAAGCAACTCTTTTACCTCAACCATAATCTTCCACTACGTCAGGTCCCGGGCTGTGAATTTCGCAGTCTCCCAAAACATCCCAGATCCCTGCAGTCTTAAGTTTTTTCAAGAGGACTTTGCCTCCAGGTCTATCTTGGGCACCTCTCTTTAGCCTCCCCTGGTGATTCCACTCAAGCATCTGATGTGTCATATTTGTGTGTCTTTTCTTTATGTGCCCCACCCAGCACCTATTCCTTTTTCTTATTTGCAATGGCATTGTTTAGGGAAATTTATAAGTATGGTATTAATGGTATTCAAAATGTCACACAAGATATCAAAGCAGTTAGAATATATCTTATCAAAAATGTTTTTTAATTACATTTCAACTTTAAGTCTTAAGCTACAGTTTCTTATTCTCACACTACAGAATTAGATCCAAACACTTTTACCACTTTCCCTAAATGAAATATATTTTACAGGTTCTGTTTGCCAAAGACAGTGTTTATGTCCATATTAATGTGCAAGATACAAAAGACAAAGATGCTCATATAGCAGGAAGAGTGTTCTTAGTTCACAAGGTAGGTAACTATATACAATTCAGATGTGTATTAATTTTATTTTTATGTTTTTATCCAAAGGACAAGATTAAATTTTTATGTTTAAACAGTAATGATGAAGTTTATCTCTAATATTATAACTACACACATAATTTTCTTTGTAACAGTAGTAAAGTAAACTCTTATGTTTCTCATTTGGATCATAAGTTTACTTTTAAGTATATTTATTCTTGTTGGGACGTTTCTAATCTATAAGTAAGTAGTATTGTTTCCCTTTCAAACTTGACGGTCTATGGGGCAACTGAAGTAGAGTTCACTTGTTTCTGTGACCTCGGCATGAGAAGAGATAGTGTGGTCAGCACTATGCCCAGCCACCTTTACTTTCCATAACGTGAGTTAGGTACCCATTAGAGTTGGGTGGACTCAGGGACGGTGTACTGACTTGAACCTAGATTCAAACTCGAGACTTACGGGTTTAGCAGTCAAGCTCTCTACCGCTAGACCACTCCGTCCCACCTAATCTATAATGCCGAGTTATAAATGCATGAATTCTGCTAAAATGTATAAAATTAGTAACATGTTAGAGTATTAAAAAAAGCTTCATCATTTTTGTGAGATGATGAGTTGACAAGTAACAAGAAAAATATGCCAATACACAGAAATTTTATAAAAATGCATTATTGATTTTGTTAGTATTTAAATTCACTACATAGTTTTTCAATTTTCTGCTTATTTTCAGCCTGAGGGCAACTTTATTGAATGGAAAGCTGAAGACTTTTTGAGTTCAGAATCTCAAAATGATGAATGGGATGTTATTGGGTCTGTTGGTTATAAAAGTGATAGAGATTCAGAAAGTGGTAGGTTTATTTTAGCTATAGGTCTTAGAGCAGTTTTGTGTAAGTTTAACTTTTTTTTAAATGAAGTGGTAGATGATTTTAAAATGATTTTTTTTTCTATTCAATATCAGTTTCAATGAATGCAAAAATGGATGCTAGAAGGAAGTACAATATAAGTTTTGATATTTTGGACTTGAAAAGCTTTAAACGCAGTGCACCCAACCATGGATGGGCTTATATTATCTTCATTCTCAAAGACGGCACAACTTTTCCCGCTCTCCATTTTCACAATGGAGGAAGTAAAGCATTGCTGAAGGAACTTGAATCTTTCATCCTTATCCGCAGGTAAATTATCCAAAGGTTCTATCTATAATACTTATCCAGGTTCAGTTTCTATAAGAAAGTTCATTATTTATAATCTTATGAAAGTTTATTATCTATGGTCAAAAATTAATAAATATATAGACCAATTTTCCTGTCTGCTTCTTAGGTCGCCCAATGATCCTCGTTTGTTTATTGTACATGATCATGACCCAGAGATGCTGTCCAAATCTTTCAACGAACTCTCCCTCTTCTCAGACTCATCTGGAGCCTATGTTCAAGTAAGTATTTACTTTTGTTTTTTACCTGAGTAGCTCCTGCTCAGTTTTTAGCTGTCCTAAAATTGGGTTCAAACTGGACACAACATGTGTAGAAGCTTCATCAGAGAGTATGTAAAGTACAAAAATGTGTTCTACTGAGTTTATTCCAATTTCATTGTTATCACTTGTGTTTGCTATTAACCATTCAATTAATGTATTATTCTGTTAATGTTAACTAATAGCATGGTCTGACATCCATAAATTAACATTAATGAATTTAATTCAATTAAATGATTACATTCAGTGCAGTTTGATACTCACATTTGTTTTTCTTGTCACTGTTTAGGCTTTTACCTTGGGCTTGTCAGCTTAGTCCTGCATTTCTCATATCATATTCTCTTTGTATTTCTTGATGTAATTGGTTTAAAATAATTTGATGTTATAAAAAAAACTTTCTAATTTTGAATGCACTTGTAAAAACATTTCTTTAAAAGATAAATACAAAATATTTACACATAATTAGGTATTTAGTATTGAAGGAGAAAAATGTGACATTCTTTTTTGTTTGTTTTTAAAATTGTAAGTAAAGCAGATATGAACTGCATCATTTTTGAATGGATAAATAGTTGAGATTTGTTTTACTCACTTATATAAATCTCAGTTGTACTGTGCTTCTTGTTTAGACCCTTTCAGTTTAGAATTTAAAAGTTTCCTTTGTAGATGCAACCACAAAAATGATTTGCTTGTTTGTAATTATGTAGGGTTTCTGTCATTTAAAATGAAATACTCACAAGCTTATGTGTCAATTTCATTCAGAAATAAAACATTATTTTCTTGCATTTAAAAAAGTTAATGTTTGATAGATTCTAATAGAAAACTCATCATCAGGTATTGTCTGAAAAAAATAAAAATAAATTACTGGTCATTTGTTAAATCTAGTTTGTTAGATATCGTGCTCAAAAGCCATTGAGTTTTGTGGTAAGAGGCTGGCAAAAAAGGGTGTGAAAACTTGTAAAACCTTTTGTTCTCAGAATTTCGTCCGAGATCCCCACAAAAAAGGCATTCATAAGGCAAGGGATTTTTTGTTTGCATTTTTCCATACGCACCATTTTATAATATGTAAACAAAATAGTCAGGGACTAACATTTTGTTATGTATCAAACACAGATTAACATTTTCCAACTATTTAATTGAAAAAGTGTGGCAAAAAATATTTACCATCAGAATATTTATTACCTTTAAACAGCATTTCAGTTGCATAAAAAGTTGGCTTTTTTCCTATGCTTGCATATTTTTCCATCCCTTTTATTTTATTATTGAAATCTTTTATCCAAACATACATCATTTCCCTTATATATATATATATATATATATATATATATATATATATATATATATATATATATATATATATATATATATATATATATATATATATATATATATATATATATATATATATATATTAGTAATTAGTAATTAAACATTTTAAACTCTTTATCTTTATTGTTACTTTAATATGCACATAAATTTTAATCTGTAAAGCTATATATTTTTAGTAATTGGTTATAGTGTTATTAAATTTACATAGCAAATTAGTTATTTATTCTCTTTCAAACAAAACTTACATTATGTTGCTGATAGTTAACTATATTGTTTAACTTCCATATATATATTCACTTTTCAAAATGTAGAAGTTTATGAAAGACCCATACACAACTACACTGGGGGGCTTCTCTAAAGTGACCAACTTCCTGCGTGATGTCCTGCTCACACCTGAAAACAACCTGGTTAGACCTCAAGCAGAAGTGGCTGAGCTTCTTCACGATGAGATACCTGGCATGGAGATATCCAACATGGATGAGCCAGGATTTGAAATGGTGACCAAGGTATTTAAAGGATGGCACTCAGTTTTATTTTTTTAGATATCAATGAAACTGTTAAACCAGTTTTAAAAAAAATAACAATTTTAACTTGTTTTGTCTACAGACAAAATTGCCACCACGTCCAACAGTGAAGAGATCAGACCCACTTGTCAATCAACAGTGGAATTCTTATTTTGATGCTGAAGGTAGAATTACACAGGTTGAAGACTTAAAGGACATCATTTTCAGAGGCGTAAGTTTTACTTTCTTAAGTTATAATATAGAAATGAATAAGAAGATTCCATCTACAAAAAGTTAAAATCTATTCACAAAATATTTGAATTGCTTAGCCAAGATTATATATGTACTTTATTGAAAAGGATTAATTTGTAAACATAACATGGAAATTGAGCTGCATTTTGTTTATCACTTAATATTCATATGTTCTTGTTTGAATTACTTTGCATCCATGAAACGTTTAGGGTGTAGATCCAAGTATTCGCTCCGAGGTGTGGAAATTCTTGTTAGCCTATTATGACTGGGACTCTACAGCCAAATCTCGACAAGATCACAGAAAGCGAAAAGTGTGAGTTGACTTGTTGACTTCATCTGTCATAGTCATTGATAGATTTAATAATTAAGTGTTGATTTGTTGACTACAACGGTCATAGCCATTGGTAGATTTAGTAATTAAGTTTTGACCTAACTATTAGTGGTATTTTTTGTTATTGCCTTTGAGCCTGACGATTGTTGAGAATGTTTTATCAGTTTCCCTTTGTTTCACTTTTCTAACAAGTTTGTTTAAAAAAAAATTTTTTACAGAGATGATTATTTCCGCATGAAACTTCAGTGGAAAACTATCAGTTCAGAGCAAGAGAGAAGATTTACCCTTCTGAAAGAAAGAAGAGGCCTTATAGGTATCTAATACTTTAATTCATTGTTGTAACTAGCATTAAGAAATCTGGTTTATAAATAATAAATTGAAATGTCTATGTACTCTTTGATAAAAATTATTTCCATTAACTGTGCTAATACACTTGTAAAACAAAATTATTTCCTCTTGTAGATAAAGATGTCATGCGCACTGACAGGACGCACAAGTTTTTCAGTGGTGACAAAAATCCAAACCTTCAAGTGTTGTATGACATCCTCATGACATACTGCATGTACAACTTTGATCTTGGTAAGTCAGTCTGGCCAAATGCTCTTGTTTTGACTACAAGTCCAGCAATACAAGTAGGTTTTATTATTTTAGTGCAATAATTAATACAAGTGAAGTGTTAAACAAATGAATAGTTTTGTTAACCTTTTATAACTGTTTGATACATAGGTCATGTTTAACCCATGATTAGTTTTGATAATGATTTAAAACTCTTTCATACACAGGTTATGTTCAAGGCATGAGTGATATTCTTGCCCCAATACTTGTTGTGATGGAGAATGAAGTTGATGCTTTTTGGTGTTTTGCTGGTGCTATGGAGCGTGTGGTTAGTGATTTCTTTTTTACAATATTTGTTGTACAAACAATAGCTTTTTTTGGTGTAATGTTCATTCAGGACTGTAAAATTGTGAAAGTCATTAACACTGTGTAAGCTGTAGTTGAAAAGAGCAGTGGAAATGTATGACTGTATGCTAAGATAGCAATAATTGGCATAGACTAGAATCTTCAACATTTTTTACTGAGAATTGTTGTACTTAAGTACTAGTTTGTATAACAAAGAATATTTATATAAAATTTCCTGAAGAACAGTTTTTTCTCCCCTCTTGTTAAAAATTAAATGTCCAAACATCGATAACTTACTAGTTCTATTTTGTAATGACATTTAAATGTTTTTAAAGCAATGGTTGCTATCAAATTTATTATATTTAGAATTTTATTTTATTAAACTGAAAATTAAATGGTTATTACTTATCATTGAAATGTGTAGAACATTATGTAATGTTTTTTAAATCATTAAAAGATGTGACAGTTTGCTTTTTTTTTCATTGTATACTATCATTTTAAATAATTTTTTTTTGCTTTATCATCTTATTAATGTAATCTCATCATTACTTACTTTTTTTTAGTGTCACAATTTTGAGATGGACCAAAATGGAATGAAAGTTCAGCTGTCACAAATTCATAAATTAATGCAGGTCTATGATCCTGAGCTTTGTGCATATTTAGGTAAATAAAATCTTCTAATGATGTATCATATTTACATATTTGAACAAAACCAGTTAGTATGTTAGTATGTACTCAGTAGTTCTGTTCTTTGTTCAAAATTTCCTGATTAAGTTTCTATTAAATTTTTGCAATCAAAATTATTTTTGTAACAATTAAAAAATGAGTAGCACAATGTGGTCTACATCAAATTTGTTAGGTTACAAGTAAGTTCTCTTTGTTAAAATGTTATGCTTTTTCTTGCAGAGAGTCATGATTCTGGCAACTTTTATTTCTGCTTCCGCTGGATTTTGATTCTATTTAAAAGAGAGTTCCACTTCCACGAAATCCAAAGACTTTGGGAGGTATACCTCTTCTTATTAATGTTGTGCCAAAAAAATTATTGTAATTAGATATAGTGAGTTTTTAAAAAAAATGCAATCTATTTATAGACCAATTAAAATTTTTAATATAATTACATTCTAGCATTTGTTTGAACTACTATTCTGTCTCCAGGTAATTTGGACTGACCGACCTTGTGCAAATTTCCACCTCATCATCTCCTTAGCTATTTTAGATTCTGAAAAGTCTACCCTCATGGAAAACAAATTTGGATTTACTGAAATTCTCAAAGTAAGTCTTTAAGACTGAAACGTTTTTTTGTTTGAAATAGTGGTAAAACTGAAGCTTTGTTTTTTGATTTTTTTAATTAAAATTTTAAGTGTTGATGTCTAAAGCAATTGAATTCTAAAATTTATGACTCTTGAAGATTTATATTCAGTTGTTTAAGTGTTAATGACCAAAGCAGTTGATTTATAAAATTTCTATACCAATTGTAAATACGTTTCATTATTAAGACGTAATGATATAGCATTTACTGGTTATTGCATTTTGTCAAGACTTGTAAGAGTCTCTTAAAATTATTTTTGCTGCCTATCCTTATGATGTACGTATAAAAAACCCATTGCCCTGCATATTTTCAGCACATCAATGACATAAGTTTGTCCATACCACTGGAGGACACGCTCTGTAAAGCAGAGGCCATTTTCCTTCAGCTGAAAGAGTACAAGAAGCTGCCAAAAGCCGTGAAGGAAATTTTGGGCTTGTTACCTGTGCCAATGTCCATGTCCATGGAGAACAGTATGTTCATGTCAGCCAGCACGCACCAGGAAGCCAAGCCAGAACATAAAGTGGACACACCCCAGTTGATGGCTGGGGGAGGGGGGAGCGCAGCTGTGAATGGTTCCAGGGGGTCTGTGTCGCTGGGAGTCAAGCAGAATAGTGTGGTGGATGAGGGGAGTAAAATATTTACATAGCTCCAGTCTGTCTGGCATGGTAGTCCAACATACAGTTTTGTCAGTTCAGCTTAAGGGGAGGGGGTTGTGAAGGTTGTCCAACATGCAGGTGGTATTTATTTTGTCACAAGTTTCAGAAGAAAAAAAGGGTTTGAGCAAGTTTTTAGTGTGAGATGTATCTGAAGAATGTATGACGCTAAAAAAAATGTGGAGAACTGTGACAGAAAGACGGTTCTACTGCTGCCATTGTTGTATTGGATTTGTCCAAAAGTTCCATTGATGAAGTCAGAGAATAGTTTGCTGTCTTTCTTAAGATTTCTCTAAAAATGATTTTGCTGAAATTTGAAAACAGATAATTTTTTGTTCACAGCTTATAGCAGCTTATTCCACCTAAGCTCTTTTGTCTTTACTGTTAATTTATATAAGCATGTCTATAAGAATCTGGTCTGGCATACTTAAGCGAATACATTTTTTAATGCTAAGCAGCTATTTCACAATTTTAAAAAATCACAGCTTGTTTACAGTACTCTTGGGTAAACTGTTGGGTTATTAGTTTTTAGTACTTCTGATGATTATTTCAGATGAAAATATTTTAAAAATTAATCTCAGCCTATACAGCAAAGCATATTTTTATTATGCAGATATGAACCAGCACAAGTAACTACTGGATATTTCAGTCATACATTTTTCTCTCCCTTAGTTAAAAACAACTAAGGACTTCTTATCTCCCTTAACGTGTTGAGACACCTAAGACTTTATCATATAAGCTAGTGTGTGATTACAGTTTTTATTTTATCCTGAAGTGATCATGAGCCTCTTTTTAAGGCTAAATATAATATAGTCATGTCTGAACATATTCATGTACTGGTCTTTAATGGTTAAAATAATAGTCTATGCAGACATGCTACCAAGTTCACATGTACAGATTTTCTCTTCAAGTTCAACTGATGAGTTTTTTTCTCTAAGATGTTCATCCAGTATCTTGTTCAGAGTGTAAAGAATATATAATAGAAAATTTGTGGCTTTTAGAGTTGGCTTGACTATCCTGGGAGTGGTAAAACCGTCATGCCAAAAATTATGCCGAAGTTGTGAACTGTTGTGATGCTATTGAAAATAAATGACAGTATGTTGCACAGAGGGTTACCAAGTATATCATGATTATCACTTCACTTTAAATTGTTCAAAATGTTAATATAATATAAATTTAAACTAAGTCATTCTATGAAAACATTAATTTGCTAATTTGTTTTTTTAAATAACCTGTTGGTGTATTTGGACATTTTTGTAACATAAATAACTGATGCTCTAAGCATTTTTTTTTTTCAAAATAAAAAAACACTTTTTTTTGTAATTTGTAGACATGGCATAAGAATTTGTAAGTAGATTTCCAGATGAAATTCACACAATAAAATAAGTGAGAGGCAATAGGTTTAACTTGGCCATTAAGATGAACTGCTCAAAGTGGCAGATTTAATAACAGCTGAAGCTTGAAGTCACATGATGTGTAGGTCACATGTGTTACATATTTGGCTGATAAAACAATTGTTGTGTCTCTGTTTTTTTCTTGAATGGAAATGTATTTTTGCCACCATTCCAACTTGTTTGTTATTGTAAACACATGTAAACTGAACTACTACCTAGGTATACTTGACTGTTTTGTTGTATACTTTTAGCTGTAGCTAGGTATACTTGACTGTTACATAAGTATACTTTTAGCTGGATATATCATAGGGCTGCATATAGAGTTTTGGCCTTGACCTTACTATTATTTAGTAGACCTAACTGTACATAATGTTACTGTTGCTAAATAATAGCATTTTTTAATCTTTCAATCTTCCACTTGTCATATTCAGTCCTATACAAAGGTGAACTGAACTTCTTGTTTAAAAAAATTTCAATATTAAATCGTACATTTTTATGGGATTAAAAGAATTACATTTAATTTTCTTCTTCATATTTTTTGTAAAGTATGTTGCAAACTTATTAAGAAAAACATATTTCCAAACAATACTTCAAGTGAAAACATACAAAGATGATGTGAACTTTTGAAAATTTTTCCATTTTTCCCCCATATCAATTGATTCAAGATGAGTTCAATGTATTGTATTGATACTGTCATAGTGAAATGTCTTTCATGATTCATCACTTACTTAAGAGTTTATGTATTTTAATACTGACTTGTTCTCTCAAATTTAAACATTCTCAGTTTAAATTTTTTTTAGAGTCTCAACACTAGATTTTTTTTTTTTTTAAACATCAATTCTAGAGTGGCTTCCCTTATATATTTTCATTTTAAACTTTTGAAATTGTTAAGCTTAAGTTTTACTAAGAGTCTGGTAATATTTATTTTCTGTTAGAACGGTAAAAAAATATACAAGAATTGTTTTTTTATTTGAGGACATGTCTGTTAGTCAGTATCTATATTTGGTTGACATATTTGTAAGCTGAACACATAGGCATGCTGGACACAGAAACATGTTCTTTTTACGCTTAAGCGAGGTAAATACTCTTGTCTAGATATCTCTCTCTCTCTCTCATATATATATATATATATATATATATATATATATATATATATATATATATATATATATATATATATATATATATATATATATATATATAAATCTGTAGCTGAAAACACTGGTCCCCATACACACATGAACTACCTAGCCTTTGTAAAAATAAAATCACCTGTGAATTGATTCATTGCTATGTACTGTGATTGTGCTGTTGCTTTATAACCTGATGCCATCATCATGTTTTGTATCATTTTAAGTACAGAGAAGTACTATACATATTTATTTGATTCCTCCTTTCATTTATGCAATATAATCATTTTTTGGATCAGGCACACGATAGTGTGAAATAAAGTATTATGTAACAAGCTGTCAGTGTTTGATTTTTTTATGTAGATCCATTGATTTGAGTGTATATTGTTATGGTTACATGTTGGTATGTTTACAATTTTATTCACATCAATCTACCCATGTAGATAAAATTAATTGACCAAAATATCTATAATGTTACAAAACATTTTTCTGTTTTAAAACAGCGTTTCTTGCAGACTTTTTTCTCCGGGGCGGGCACTTGATATTTTCGGGGGGGGGGGGGGGGAGACACTAGTAAAAGTATATGTTTATTATATAAATTCCATCTCGTGGGGGGGGGGGGGGGGGATTTTTACTTTTTTCTTCCCCCCCCCCCCCCCCCCCCCCCCCCCCCCGAACAGATGCCTGGAAGAAACTCTGAAAACAAAGTGTACTGAAACTCAAGCCTTGATTCACCAACCAGTCGTCTTTAACTTAGAAAAAAAAATCTGGTCAATTTGTCTGGCTTATCACAGTGGTCAACTTATCTGGCTTGTGGCTGGTTTAACTAAGACTAAGACACAGCGGTTAACTTTTGGTGTATCTAGAATATAGGTTATAGCAGTTTAGATGTAAATGTGCGGGAATCGCGTTACGCGCGGCTCAACTTGGCGATTCAACAATACAAGCCTTCTTGAGACTAAATCTCGAGACTACCATTTGAATATGCAAGTTGTGATCACTAAATGAGTGAGTGCCATACTATATTCGTATCATCCTCATGCCGAATGACTGTCGTATTTTATTCATTAAATCGTGTGGGGGGAGGGGGATACTAAAACAAATTAAAAAGTCGCAAAAATATCTTTACAAAATGACATTGATTTACTTTTTCGTTGTTTGTTTTTTGTGGTAAAAAGATCTTACTTTTTAAAATTTCCTTTACACAAGACATAATGACGTACAGCGCGATTGGGAAAGTTAACAGCGGGAGAAATATAAGATGGTCGACCAACCTATTAGTTTGATTTTAAGCCTAGCTTTGATTGATTCTGTCACTCAATTACCATTAATTGTGACCGTACACGTAATATGACCGCACTGTGTTCGCTAATGATAACATGGCCTTACAATCACGCGTACAGGCCATCGGGATAGATCTAGGGACCACAAACTCATGCGTGGCCGTGTTCCATGATGGCCAAGTGGAAATTATTGCCGATGAAGATGTAAGTCTGTAGGTATTATATATCTATAGATCGAATATTTTATATATAATAAAGTGACATAAGGTTGACTTCATGGCGCAAGTAAGGGGGGGGGGGGCTGAATCGTGATTTTTTTTTTAGTCCAGGTGTGTACAAACTATTCCGGTTTTTCAATAGGTGAGAAGGGTGGGAGTTTTGGTAAGGTATATCAGCCCCCCCCCCCCCCAACCAGTTTTAATGGTAGGAATGACTGAAGAGTATGCTTCTTCAGCCGGCTTTTGTCCCGTGTAGACTAGTTCACCAGCCGGCTTTTGTCCCGTGTAGACTAGTTCACCAGCCGGCTTTTGTCCCGTGTAGACTAGTTCACTAACCGGCTTTTGTCCCGTGGAGACTAGTTCATCAGCCGGCTTTTGTCCCGTGTAGACTAGTTCACTAACCGGCTTTTGTCCCGTGGAGACTAGTTCATCAGCCGGCTTTTGTCCCGTGTAGACTAGTTCACCAGCCGGCTTTTGTCACGGGTAGACTAGTTCACCAGCCGGCTTTTGTCCCGTGGAGACCAGTTCACCAGCCGGCTTTTGTCCCGTGTAGACCAGTTCACCAGCCGGCTTTTGTCCCGTGTAGACTAGTTCACCAGCCGGCTTTTGTCCCGTGTAGACTAGTTCACCAGCCGACTTTTGTCCCGTGTAGACTAGTTCACCAGCCGGCTTTTTGTCCCGTGTAGATTAGTTCACCAGCCGGCTTTTGTCCCGTGTAGACTAGTTCACCAGCCGGCTTTTGTCCCGTGTAGACTAGTTCACCAACCGGCTTTTGTTCGGTGTAGACTAGTTCACCAGCCGGCTTTTGTCCCGTGTAGACTAGTTCACCAGCCGGCTTTTGTCCCGTGTAGACTAGTTCACCAACCGGCTTTTGTTCGGTGTAGACTAGTTCACCAGCCGGCTTTTGTCCCGTGTAGACCAGTTCACCAGCCGGCTTTTGTCCCGTGTAGACCAGTTCACCAGCCGGCTGATGACCTGTTTTACCTGCAGGGAAACCGGACCGTGCCCAGCTACGTCTCCTTCCACGACGACGACCGGCTGGTCGGGCAGGCGGCCAAGGCCCAGGCCTCGATGAACCCCAAGAACACGATCTATGACGTCAAGAGGCTGATCGGACGACGGTTCTCGGACAGGGTGGTCAAGAAGGACTTGAAGAACTGGCCGTTCAGAGTGGTCGAGCAGGCAGACACGGGTAAGAAAGTGGGGGTCAGTAGCGTCACAAGGCGGGGACGCATGGGGGGGGGGGGGTTGCAGGCCGCATCGGGTACCACTATCCAAGGGGGGGGGGGGGTATGAAACAAAAAACAACAGCCAATTTTAATGAAGAACTTACGTTTACCATTTAGTTTAACACCGCTTAAAATTGTAGATCTCTATACATTATTAGTCACAGAGATGGAGATAACTCCGTAGTCTAATTTTTAGCACATCATATATATATATATATATATATATATATATATATATATATATATATATATATATATATATATATATATATATATATAGTTGGTAGAGAGGTGACACACTGGGTTACCACACTGGGTGTCACCTGTCCTAGTGACGCCACTGGGTTAATTACTTGTCAGCAAGGTGCCAGTTATATGTCTCCATTTATTTTTATATACCGGAGAATATGAGCTATGTGTTAGTAAACATACAAAAAAACTTTCTTTGCGACGTTATATGTAAGATATCAAAGAAATTTGGACCATAAAAATGTAATTTAAAAACAAAGTGTTATTTAAAAAGAAATATGATAGATCTTGTAGTAACTGAACTGTTTGATCTGGTCCAAGGCATGCCATTGTACAAGGTCCGCTTCAAGAGAGAGGAGAGAACGTTCTCGTCCGAACAGATCAGCGCCATGATCTTGGGGAAGATGTGTGAGGTGGCCCAGACACACCTCGGTCTGCCCGTCACAGATGTGGGTATGTGGTGTTTGAGTGGCATGTTTGTGGGTATGTCAGTGGTGTTTGAGTGTCATGTTTGTGGGTATGTCGGTGGTGTTTGAGTGTCATGTTTGTGGGTCATGTTTGTGGGTGTGTCAGTGGCGTTTGAATGTAATGTTTGTGGGTATGTTGGTGGCGTTTGAATGTTATGTTTGTGGGTATGTCAGTGGTGTTTGAGTGTCATGTTTGTGGGTATGTCGGTGGTGTTTGAGTGTCATGTTTGTGGGTCATGTTTGTGGGTGTGTCAGTGGCGTTTGAATGTAATGTTTGTGGGTATGTTGGTGGTGTTTGAGTGGCATGTTTGTGGGTATGTCAGTGGTGTTTGAATGTCATGTTTGTGGGTATGTCAGTGGTGTTTGAATGTAATGTTTGTGGGTATGTTGGTGGTGTTTGAGTGGCATGTTTGTGGGTATGTCAGTGGTGTTTGAATGTAATGTTTGTGGGTATGTTGGTGGTGTTTGAGTGGCATGTTTGTGGGTATGTCAGTGGTGTTTGAATGTCATGTTTGTGGGTATGTCAGTGGTGTTTGAATGTCATGTTTGTGGGTATGTCAGTGGTATTTGAGTGTCATGTTTGTGGTTATGTCAGTGGTGTTTCAGTGTCATGTTTGTGGGTATGTCAGTGGTGTTTGAGTGTCATGTTTGCGGGGGTGTTGGTGGTGTTCCATTGTCATGTTTGTGTGTATAACGGTTGTGGGTATGTCAGGGGTGTTTGAATGTCATGTTTGTGGGTATGTCAGTGGCGTTTGAATGTAATGTTTGTGGGTATGTTGGTGGTGTTTGAGTGGCATGTTTGTGGGTATGTCAGTGGTGTTTGAATGTCATGTTTGTGGGTATGTCAGTGGCGTTTGAATGTCATGTTTGTGGGTATGTTGGTGGTGTTTGAGTGTCATGTTTGTGGGTATGTTGGTGGTGTTTGAGTGTCATGTTTGTGAGTATGTTGGTGGTGTTTGAATGTCATGTTTGTGGGTATGTCAGTGGTGTTTGAGTGTCATGTTTGTGGGGGTGTCGGTAGCGTTTGAATGTCATGTTTGTGGGTATGTCAGTGGTGTTTGAATGTCATGTTTGTGGGTATGTCAGAGTGTTTGAATGTCATGTTTGTGGGTATGTCAGTGGTGTTTGAGTGTCATGTTTGTGGGTATGTCGGTGGTGTTTGAATGTCATGTTTTTGCGTATGTCGGTGGTATTTGAATGTCATGTTTGTGTGTATGTCAGTGGTGTTTGAATGCCATGTTTGTGGATATGTCGGCGGTGATTGAATGTCATGTTTGTGGGTATGTAGGTGGTGTCTGAATGTCATGTTAATGTGTATGTCAGTGTTGTTTGAATATAACGTATGTGGATATGTCGGTGGTGTTTGAATGTCATATTTGTGTGTATGTCAGTGTAGTTCCGATGCCATGATTGTGACCATGTCAGTGGTGTTTTAATGTCATATAAGTCAGTGGTGTATTAGTGTTACGTATGTCAGTGGTCTTAATGTCATATTTGTGTGTATGTCAGTGAAGTTCCGATGCCATGATTGTGACTATGTCAGTGGTGTTTTAATGCCACGTTGTGGGTAATTTTTAAGGCACTATTTTATCAATCACGTTAATGGGTACGCAAATGTGTTTTTAATCTGTCAAATCTAAAGAAAAAAACAATATAAATGTACATGCCCTTCCACGCCACATTACTAACCCACCACACATATCCTCGCTTGAATCACCCTAATTGGCCACGAAGACTTGTCTTTCTCTAAACTTTGTTCTGCTCTGCAGCCATTTTTGTTGGGGTTTTTTCTCTGCCTCTGTGCATAACTTTGTTAAAACGTGAGGGATAAAGTACCGCTCTATAAAATTGGGTCGCTATCATATCCAATAGGTCATCTTACGCTCTCTTATTATCACAGTACCAGCATAATTATAACCACAATGCCATTGGTCATCTAATGCCCTCTAGTTATCAAAGTATCAGCATAATTATAACCACATGATATAATGCTCTCTAATTATAACCACAATGCCATTGGTCATCTAATGCCCTCTAATTACCACAGTACCAACATAATTATAACCACAATGCCATTGGTCATCTAATGCCCTCTAATTACCACAGTACCAACATAATTATAACCACAATGCCATTGGTCATCTAATAACATCTAGTTATCACCGTCCCGGCGTACTTCAACGACTCCCAACGCCAGGCGACCAAGGACGCTGCCCTTATAGCAGGACTCAACGTCCTGCGCATCATCAACGAACCCACGGCGGCGGCCATAGCATACGGCCTTGACCTCAACTCCGACGAGCACAAATACGTCCTCATATTTGACCTTGGCGGCGGGACGTTTGACGTCAGTGTCCTGTCTGTGGGCCACGGGAAAGTCTTTGAAACTTTATCGTCTGCCGGCGACAGCCATCTTGGAGGGGAGGACTTCGACAACAAATTAGTTGAATTTTTTGTTGAGGAGTTTCTAAGAAAAACGAACAAAAATCTGACCGAAAATCCCAGGTCAATCAAACGACTGAAGATCGCATGTGAACAAGCCAAACGAACGTTATCTCTACAACCGGAAGCGACGGTTGAAGTAGATTCCATTTTTGAAGGTCTGGACCTGACGACAAAAATCTCGAGGGCACGATTCGAGGAATTATGCCGGGATCTGTTCCAATCCACGTTAACCGCCGTGGAAGTTGCGCTGCAGGATGCGCGGTTAAACAAGGAGCAAATACAGGAAGTTGTCTTGGTGGGCGGGTCCACGCGGATACCCAGGATTCAGGAGCTGCTGAGAGAGTTCTTCGATGGGAAACAACTCAACAACTCTATCAACCCTGATGAGGCTGTGGCTTACGGCGCGGCCGTACAGGCGGCGCTCATTGCAGGGGACACAATCCTACAAGTAAGTCCTGGAGTTATCCGCCCTCTGGCTTATAAAATCTCTTGTTATGCAAGTTGTGCTAAAGGTTCACTCGTTCACATCCCTTAGTTTTGATGCTATGTGGGCTTGCTGTATTAAGCCGAGGTTGGGGGATGTATGCGAAAATTCTGTCCGAACACTTTAGAAGTCAGCATAGGCTAAGTAAAATAAATCATTAAAATGTGAGTTAGATTAAATGCTATTGTTTATAGAGAACATTAGTTTTAATGATACAACTTGTTATTTTTTTTAAAGTGTAGAAAGAATAACTTCTCACTTCGAAAATAATTGCATGCGTTTATGATTTTTTGCAAGCTGAGAAAATTCGGGCCACAGAAACATATTCCGGCAATTCATGACTTCTCCGTTCCAAAAATAATCAGGATCTAATAATTGTGTAATTGTGACTTTTCCAGTGCCTGATAGGAGATGTGCCATCTGTAGCGTGGTTATGATTTTTAGCGTACTTATGTTCGGTTTTTTCTGGTCATTAAGATGTCGAGCTATAAACGGCTTTTATTTCTGGTCACTAGGATGTCCAGTTGTCAATAACTGCTGGTTTCCGGTCATTAGAATGTCCAGTTGTCAGTAGCTGCTAGTTTCTGGTCATTAGAATGTCCAGTTGTCAGTAACTGCTAGTTTCTGGTCATTAGAATGTCCAGTTGTCAGTAACTTCTAGTTTCTGGTCATTAGAATGTCCAGATGTCAGTAACTGCTAGTTTCTGGTCATTAGAACGTCCAGTTGTCAGTAACTGCTAGTTTTTGGTCATTAGAATGTCCAGTTGTCAGTAACTGCTAGTTTTTGGTCATTAGAATGTCCAGTTGTCAGTAGCTGCTGGTTTCTGGTCACTAGGATGTCCAGTTCTCATCAGCTTTTGTTTCTGGTCATTAGAATGTCCAGTTGTCAACGTGTTTTGTTTCTGGTCATTAGAATGTCCAGTTGTCAACGTGTTTTGTTTCTGGTCATTAGAATGTCTAGTTGTCAACAACTTTTGTTTCTGGTGATTAGAATGTCCAGTTGTCAACGTGTTTTGTTTCTGGTCATTAGAATGTCCAGTTGTCAACGTGTTTTGTTTCTGGTCATTAGAATGTCCAGTTGTCAACAACTTTTGTTTCTGGTCACTTGGATGTCCATTTGTCAACGTATTTTGTTTCTGGTCATTAGGATGTCCAGCTGGTTGAAGTGGCGCCCTTGTCTCTGGGCGTGGAGGCGGCTGACGGCACCATGTCGTGTTTTGTCAAGCGGGGGACGCCCCTACCCGTCTCCGTGACCAGCACCTTCACAACGTACGACGATTATCAGCAGGCTGTAACAATACAGGTGAGTGATGTTACAATACAGGTGAGTGATGTTACAATTCAGGTGAGTGATGTTACAATACAGGTGAGTGATGTTACAATACAGGTGAGTGATGTTACAATATAGGTGAGTGATGTTACATAACACGTGAGTGATGTTACAATACAGGTGAGTGATGTTACAATACAGGTGAGTGATGTTACAATACAGGTGAGTGATGTTACAATACAGGTGAGTGATGTTACAATTCAGGTGAGTGATGTAACAATACAGGTGAGTGATGTTACATAACAGGTAAGTGATGTTACAATACAGGTGAGTGATGTTACAATACAGGTGAGTGATGTTAAAATACAGGTGAGTGATGTTACAAATACACGTGAGTGATGTTACAAATACACTTGAGTGATGTTACAATACAGGTGAGTAATGTTACAATACAGGTGAGTGATGTTACAATACAGGTGAGTGATGTCACATGTAAGTTCTGATGACAAAGTTGATTCTGTATGTGGGGAGAGGACGTCAAAAAATGTTTTAACTTTGTGAAAATGTGCTTTGTGGGGAGAGGATGAATGTGTGTTACTATGGTGACGCAGCCGATATTTTGTATTATGAGTTCTAGAACTGATTGAACAATGGCCTTTGTTCTTTAGAATATTGTTCATTTTAATGGGGTGGGTGGGGAATATGGAACTTTGTCTTTTTTATGGGGTTTGGAAATGACCTGCTATGTTTAGGTATTATCTGGGTTACATTCCATTACAAAATGTAGGTACATTTCTGTGATGATTATCTAGTGTGCGAAAATAGCTTGGTAATGGCTGACCTTATAAAACAACGATTCATGAGATTAATCACATGGTAACTCAATTATGCCCCTCAATAATTAATGAATAAATTAGAGATAATTTAATAACGCAGAACAGATCATTGCTAAACACCGAATTAGCATTGTCAACGGGGGAGGGGAGGGGGGGGGGGGGGGGGAGGAGACAAGGGGAAGATAACTGAGAGGTATCAGAGCCTGGATAGGATTGTCCTTAGCGGACTCACAGAATTCTGCAGTGGGGTGGGTGACATGGCGCTACGCAAGAGACAACGGTGGTACCCCAATGACCCTCCCCTGGGGGTTATGGGATAGATTAGATTAAAAACCCAGAGTAACTCGTTGTAAAATACTATAATAACGGTGTCACTTGTGTAGACGGTTTACAGTTAATGCTAAATATAGCCAGTGGTCGACTCGGCCGTGTAACGATCTTATTATTTATTTAATTGTTTGTGTTGTAAAGAACATGCTCCGTGTTTTTATACAAACGTATTAATTATTCATACCAATAAAAATGGCGGAGCACATTGTTTATTAAATCAAGTATGATAATGATATTAATAATAAGAACCATGAGATAATACATTTTTAACACAACAGGGCTTCAGTAATTAGCTAAATAATTTGAGGTAATGAGCCAAATGTTACAGTGAAATTATTTTGTATATATTATCCTGTAAAACTGTTTGAATATAGGCGTATGTATATGTGTGTGGTTCAGTGCAGCGCTGAATTAAAGTGTCAGTTAAAGCTTAACATAAATTCATTTAATATTAAAATGTAATTAAATGTTAATTATTTGATGCACTACGTAGACAACAATCGTAGATGTTTTGTTTGAGAAAAAGAAGCCGCTTAATAAATTGTATAAGTATTTTTGACTTTTAGGTATATGAGGCCGCTTACATGCTATTGTGTTGTTCCTATAACTTTAGGTATTTGAGGCCGCTATCAAACCTTTGTGTTGTGTTGTTCCTATAACTTTAGGTATTTGAGGCCGCTATCAAACCTTTGTGTTGTGTTGTTCCTATAACTTTAGGTATTTGAGGCCGCTATCAAACCTTTGTGTTGTGTTGTTCCTATAACTTTAGGTATTTGAGGCCGCTATCAAACCTTTGTGTTGTGTTGTTCCTATAACTTTAGGTATTTGAGGCCGCTATCAAACCTTTGTGTTGTGTTGTTCCTATAACTTTAGGTATTTGAGGCCGCTATCAAACCTTTGTGTTGTGTTGTTCCTATAACTTTAGGTATTTGAGGCCGCTATCAAACCTTTGTGTTGTGTTGTTCCTATAACTTTAGGTATTTGAGGCCGCTATCAAACCTTTGTGTTGTGTTGTTCCTATAACTTTAGGTATTTGAGGCCGCTATCAAACCTTTGTGTTGTGTTGTTCCTATAACTTTAGGTATTTGAGGCCGCTATCAAACCTTTGTGTTGTGTTGTTCCTATAACTTTAGGTATTTGAGGCCGCTATCAAACCTTTGTGTTGTGTTGTTCCTATAACTTTAGGTATTTGAGGCCGCTATCAAACCTTTGTGTTGTGTTGTTCCTATAACTTTAGGTATTTGAGGCCGCTATCAAACCTTTGTGTTGTGTTGTTCCTATAACTTTAGGTATTTGAGGCCGCTATCAAACCTTTGTGTTGTGTTGTTCCTATAACTTTAGGTATTTGAGGCCGCTATCAAACCTTTGTGTTGTGTTGTTCCTATAACTTTAGGTATTTGAGGCCGCTATCAAACCTTTGTGTTGTGTTGTTCCTATAACTTTAGGTATTTGAGGCCGCTATCAAACCTTTGTGTTGTGTTGTTCCTATAACTTTAGGTATTTGAGGGCGAAAGGGCACTAACGGAAGACAACAACCTCCTGGGTGTATTTGAACTGACCGAGATCCCTCCCGCCCCCCGGGGAGTACCTAAAATAGAGGTGACCTTTGACATTGACAGCGATGGGATCCTGAGTGTAACGGCCAAGGAGTCGGTGACGGGGAAGTTCAACACGGTTGTCATTAGCAACAATAAAGGTGAGTTAGGTTGGGTTGGGTTAGGTTAGGTTAGGTTAGGTTAGGTTAGGTTGGGTTGGGTTGGGTTGGGTTAGGTTAGGTCAGTGGCGTAGGCAGCGCGGGGGTTAGGGGGGGTAATAACCCCCCCCCCCTCCATAGACCCCTCGGTATATATAAAAAGTATGGGGGGGGGTGCAAATCGAAAGTTTGAGGGGGGGGTGCAAATCGAAAGTTTGTCCCCGGGTAAAAATTGGAACCCCCCCCCCCCCCTTGAGACGATCCTGGCTACGCCACTGGTTAGGTTAGGTTAGGTTAGGTTAGGTTAGGTTAGGTTAGGTTAGGTTAGGTTAGGTTAGGTTAGGTTAGGTTAGGTTAGGTTAGGTTAGGTTAGGTTAGGTGGGTTGGATTAGAATAGATTAGATTGGGTTAGGTTAGGTTAATTTAGGTTAGATTAGGTTAGGTTAAGTTAATCTAGGTTTGATTAGGTTAGGTTGGGTTTGGTTGGGTTGGGTTAGGACGTGTTGGATGTCTCTCGTTTCGGTTAATTTAGCTGAAGTTTAGTTAGGTCACGTCATGTAAGATGGAGCTAGGTGTTAGAGATATAGTAACGTAGCATAAGGTATGACAAAAGCCTGAGAAAAGATGGCCACTGATATCCAGATTCTGAACTTTTACTCCTAACTACAGTTTGTGCTAACACCGTTGTATTTATTTGTAACACTCAAAGTTAATTTTGTGGGCCGCTTTTTTTAATGCCCTATTTATTTTGTTATGATTAGAAATAGTTTAGAAACTTTCACAATAGTTAGTCCATACTAGCGTCAGTTAATAACTTTGATGCACTGTTTATTTCATACCATGACACAATCGAACTAAAAACTACACAATCACTTGAATTGAAAATTCCCTGTTGTCAGTATTTTAAAAACTGTTATGTATATGGATTGATTTTAATAAAATGCAAATGGTATTACAATCGTAGTCTCGCTGAGACTATAATTTCCGCCTCGAACGTAAAACTAAACCTAGTCTTAAAATCTAAATGTAGTAGGCCCTACTAAACCTAGATCAAAATCTTCGTTAAAACAGCTATGTAGATGAAGTGGCCTGATACATGTACACAGTGGCATAGCGAGGTCGGGTGTCACCCAGTGCGGCACTTAATGGTGTCACTCACCCCCCCCCCCCCCCCCAAGAGGCGTAGCGACCCTTCCCGGGGACAAACTTTCAAATTTTCGATTTGCACCCCCCCCCCCCCATGATTTTCTCTATATATTTTGCTATTTTTTGCCTTGGTGTCACCCCCCTAAATGGTGTCACCCGGTGCGGTCCGCCCCCTCCCCCCTCGCTACGCCTCTGCATGTACAACATATGACCCTACTTATCTTACTACCCAAGCATTGTGATAGGATTTCCAAAGCGCAATCATTTATTGGTCTATTAAACAATACAGCCATATTTGTATGCAATACAAGCAACACAGATGTTTGGTTGTTGTGGCCAGTGGCATAGCCAAGAATTGGTCATGGGAGGGGTTCAAATATTTCTCCATATGTATATAATCATATATATATATATATATATATATATATATATATATATATATATATATATATATATATATATATATATATATATATATATATATATATATATATATATAGGTGTGAGTCCATGGGAGGGTTATAACCCCCCCCCCCCTTGCCACGCCACTTGTTGTGACCATGACCGTGACCCCTGACTCCCCAGGCCGACTGAGCAAGGCAGACATCAAGCGGCTGAAGCTGGAGGCCGCCCAGTTCCGAGCAGACGACAAGGACCAGCGGGAGAGGGTGGAGCTGCGGGACCAACTCGAGGCTCTCGTCTACAGCGTCAGGCACGCCATCAACACCATCACCATCAACCTCGCCGCCGACCTCAAGAGGCTGCTTCTGCAGACGTGTGACGAGGTGGGTGGTCACGTGGTGCTTTGTGTACCTGGACAGTCACGTGACAAAAGAGCCTGGTGTTATGTAGTGTAAGGAAAAGCTGGGGCGCGTAATTTCTAGTGAGATCATCATCATCATCTTTTCCCGTTCGTGCCCAAGACAAATGGGTACAGGAAGTAGAGTTCACCTGTTTCAGGGACCTCTGCATATAAAGTGATAGTGTGGTCACCGCTATGCCCAGCCGCCATTGCTTTCCCTAAGGTACCCATTAAAGCTGGGTAGACTCAGGATTTGAACTCGAGACTTTCGGGTTAGCAGCATAGCTCTCTATCGTTAGGCCACGCCGCCCCTTTTCTAGTGAGATGAGATTGACTCATGCTTAGCTGAATTTAAAAGGCCCACATTTATTCTGCCCCTCGCCTAACGTCCCTCTGTCTGCTTTATGTCACTTTATGGACGACCTCTAAAATTAAGTGTTGAGTTCCAGGCACCAATCTTTGGACCCCCCTGACCTACCCCAATCCCCCAGGGCAACTAAAATGGGGGGGGGGGGGGTGGTGAAGACTGGGCTGACAAAATACCGCAGCCCAAGTCGCGGCGCCATGAGAGTGGAACAGGTTACATAACCCCTACAGCCAGTTGGTCACGTTTCTCTAATGAAAGTTTTCCTCTCGAGAGTTACCCTCCTTGTTTTACTTTCACTTTCCAGTACACGACTGCTGTCCCTTGAGTGGTGGTCCATTTTTTAATTCCTTATTGGTTGAAATAAAAAAGGTGTATTTAGAAATTTCCCCACATTGGCCTACATTTTATAGAGTCTACGTATTCAAAGCGAAACGATATAATTTAATTGACACTTTGCAGACGATGACCTGGTTAGAGAGTAACCTTCACGCTTCCACAGACGAGGTCAGAGGTCACTTGGAGAACTTGAGGGGGGTGTGTGAGGGGATAGACGTGGACTCGCAGCGGAGTAGCTGCAGCTACTACGATTGACGCAAGTCGTAGCTACAGGCGGTCTAAAGAGACAATTGTTGTGTAGGACGTTTGACGCAAGTCGTAGCTACAGGCGGTCTAAAGAAACAATTGTCGTGTAGGAAACTGGGCCAATAAACATTGATTGTGTGTTAACATGGGCAATAAACAACAGATGTGTGTTTAACCTCTTGTCAAACAATAGTTGTGTGTCTAAATGCATGGCAATGAATGTAAAACAATAGTTGTGTCTAATTACAGGACTAAATGCTCACGTGATTTAGCACCACTAACCCTACATATTTTATGCTCTAACTGGGCCAAAAATAAATAGTTTATTGGACTGATAGTAATAAAACAGAAAATCTTTACAAAATCTGTGTTAGAAGGTTTAGACTGTTTAGAGGGCAAAACAAGTCAGTGCACAATTATACTCAGGCTATATATATATATATATATATATATATATATATATATATATATATATATATATATATATATATATATATATATATATATATATATATATATATATATATATATATATATATATATACATATATATATATATATATATATATATATATATATATATATATATATATATATATATATATATATATATATTGTACCAAACGAAATCTGATGAATAGGAAGCAAATTTTTGCCCGTTTCTCAGTGTGATCCTAACCACCCATGCCTGCCCCTCCCACCATCTAGACCTCCGTCTTACACAGACCTACTCTGCAGGGATGTATTTTATTTGGCACGTGGTAATAAAAAACGTTGCTAGGTTACTGTCAAGAATAAATTAAACAAACACTTTTTTTTATATGTAGATACGACTAATTGTATGTAAATGTCCGTACTAAATCTGAGCGTATTCAAATGAGGCCTGAAACAGTGTTGATATATGTAGATGTGTGGTGGTATGTATGTCAGCACGCTATGATCCACGTTTAAGTGGGAAGTATTTATGGGCTGTAATCTGGTGGACGAGGACTAGGGTATGGCTCTTTCATGGTGAGCTTGTGCCTTTTAGTTGGAATTTCTAGCAGAAAAAAAATAAATAAAGATCGCAAAATTGTCAAACGGTAAAAAACACTGATTTGACTTTATGTAATTTCTTCGTTTGTTGGTCAGTATTTCCTCCAACACTATTAAGTATTAGTTAACTTGTTCGCCAAATGGGTAATTGACTTTCGGGGAGTCGAACTCAGAGCTTCTCAGTTCAGCAGCCAGGAGCCTTACCGGCCTGACCACCCCGACGACTTTGTTTTTGATCAATTTAGTAAAAATAACATTCTTCGATGTAGGTGAATAACTAGCACCATAATAACAAACGACTATAAAAACATATAGAGCCTCAATGTGGATAGACAGAAACCATCGTTGACTTTAAGAGAGGTTCCTAATTGGAAGAGATCATGACTTTAAGCCTAACATTGGAACATCGCACGATTCAAGGATAATCACTCACCTAGCCACACGTAACGCCACGAAATATTTTTTTTTTTAAATTGTAATCAGGCGTGGAGTGATTGATGAATATTCCATCTTGATAACTCGGTAAATGACAACCCCCCCCCCCCCCGCCCCGTCCACACCCCGTCCACACCCGGTCACTGATGTGTAATATACGACTCGCATCTTGCAACAAATATAAGCTAAACGATGATTGGTCAATAAATCATTGGTTTTGTTAAATCCCGGTTAACTGATTCTACTTTCATTCTAAACCATAATCTTTTGGGTGGGATATGTGTTTAAATTATCTTACGTATGTATTTAATGCAACAACATTTATCAAAATTACCGGATTCCTTTCACCCACGGCATGCCTAAAACTATTCAAGAGTAATCTAAAATTACAATTATTACAATTAACCTTTTAAAATAACAGAATTCACTCACGTTATTCTGTGGCGTCGGTATTTCTCAATGAGCGGTTCTAGTATGTGTATGAGCTAGACTTGAATAAATACTTGTTTCTATACGGTCAAGTTACCTACATACGATGACCTATGTGGTAGACTAATGCCCGAAATTTCACTGAGTTCGTGGACATTTTGTCCGGATATTGTGTGACCGTAACTACTCCCAATCAAGGTTTTGGCTAGCGGCTGGAAAAAAAAATGTATTTTTAACAAAATTAAAAACATGTTTTACAAAAACTCGAAACAAATAAAATATGTGGAAAAAATTATTTTATTTCTTGTCAAATTGGTCAGCATGTACATTACGTATTTGGTTTTAAAAGAATGTATTTTATTTGATTTTATTTTACATGCTCGCACCAACTATAGCTGGTTTATTTAGTGTAGCCAACTGCCCATAATACACTCACGAACACACATACAGTACACACATACAGACGGACCTTAGAAGAACACACAGTGACGTAATAGATGTTATAGTGTAGTTACTATGTTGATTCAAGGACACTTTAATGTGGTACATCGCCAGTCACAAGATGACAAAAATACAACTACAAAAATACACTAGCTATTCTGGAACTACTCAATTATTAGGAGACCATCACAGGAATCGGAGTCAGGATGGGAAGAGTATCGATATGTAAAGTGGTATCGGGGATAATGGATAGGTTAGGTTTAAATTATTACACTAGATGTGCTTTAGTTATGTTACCTACATTTAAATTTACAATAAAACGAGCTTTGCTGGCTCGCAGGAATCGTGCTTTTATGGAAACATAAAGTTACATAATGCATATTTAATCATTATTCTGGTAGGGGTTAGTTAATACACATATTTCATTATACAAGTAGTGGAAACAAGCCTGGAACACAATCACTACAAGCAGTTTACAATCTCTCAGGAAACAAGCTTGGAAATACAGCATGAAATACAGTCACGAAAAGCTAACAAACGGTGGAAACAACAATGGAATGCTAACAAGATACCATACACAATCATACATGTAATAATTGATTGTGGCGAGCTTACATTAGTTTGGGACACGCAATTATTTTTTTATAGATCTTTTAAAATTTGAAAACATAATCAAACAGCGTCAAGTACTAAAACTTGGTGTGTGTGTGGGGGGGGGGGGGGGGGGGGGGTGGTAGTGAGACAGCGTGTACATCAACTACAGAAACATCTGAAACCAAAGGTAGTGCAAACATGACTTTACTCACACATCACTACTTGAAAGTTAAACACGTCATAACTAAACACACGCATTAATCACATCATCACATTTTTAGTGTATATAGAACGTAAGCAAAGGTAAAAAAAGCTGATAACTAGCCTTAGGTTTAACATAAACCATAACCGCGACACGACAGTGTTGACACAATCTAACACCATCTAAAAATTGTCTCCTTCATGATCAAGAACTCCACATGGACAGTTTCACTGTTTGAGATTAAGAATTGAAACATATGACTTAAGTAAGGAGGATCGTGGGTTAGGGTCCCCTCCTGGGTAGGGCCCCATGTAACAAGTAAATGGAATAGTGGTTTGGGTCCCCCCCCATAAAGGCGAGGAATGACTTTTTACTCTGATTGCTGGGGAGGTCCACACTTCAGTAAATCAATTAACATTCGTGTGTACTGACACACATATATAGCCATTGCTTCATAAAAACACATACAAGTTACATTTGTCATTTGGTTTATAAAAACACATAGAAATACAATTTACATAAGCCAATGATTTATACGAATACATACATGTATAAGTTACATATAGGACGTACCAAATCGAGATGTGAATTATATTTATTAAAGTTTCAAATAATTAATGTTAATTTTTTAACGTTATTATACTGATTGTAAAGTGAATAGATGATGATACTCGATGATAGTGGCTCGATTGTTGAAGTTGTTAAACTGCTTATCTAACTGAAGTGAATACAAGAACTAGTACACTAGCCGTGGCAGTTTAGAAGCAGAGTTTCTTCCAGGCATCTCTTCGGGGGGGGGGGGGGGGGGAAAGCCCCCCCCCGAAAATTTTTTACCGCCCCCCCCCCCCGAACGAAATGAAATTTATATAATTTATATAGAAAATATATAATTTTAACAGTGTCCGCCCCCCCCCCCCGAAGAAAGTCTACCGCCCCCCCCCCCCCCCCGAAAATTTCAAGTGCCCCCCCCCCCCTCCGGAGAAAAAAGTCTGGAAGAAACACTGTTTAGAAGTGGGTGTTAAGACGAATGTGTGGGGGTGGATTATGTGCACAGTCATCTGGGTAGATAGACGTCATTGTAGTGGGCAGATGATTGTCGAAATGCTGACCTTAACTGCGAACGGACGTCATGGTGCTGATCTTTGTAGATGGATGTCATGCTGCTGACAATATAGACGTCATCGTGCTGACCATATAGACGTCACCGCGCTGACCATACAGACGTCACTGTACTGACATTACCTGCAGATTTACTTCTTGATGCTAATGCTATGGACGTCATTGTGCCGATCTATTTTTAGATAAGACGTTATGGTGCTGATGTGTGCAGTTTTTAAACAGTGAAGTGACAATAAAGGTTTATACATATACAGCAAATGAATCTCATAAATTAAGACGTGATGTTAAAATCGTAACAAGTTTCTGTGATAGGGTACCATATCAGTAGCATATTTCTATTACATTAGTTGTGATTGATCTGTGTCCCGTATTGCTTTCCCACAAAACAATCAATCGATCAAACATTCTGTATCGATTTTAAGAATGATTAATTTGCAGGTGATATGTTTTTAATGGCGTTTACGAAAAAGAAAACAGTCCATTGTTTTATCTGAAGTTGGCGTGCAGGCTTTGGTCCAAGGTTGATGATTCAGCTTCGTGTATACAGGCCTGGCAACAACACACTCTCGCACAACACACACAACACACACGACACACACGACACACACATGACGGGGTGTATCAAGAGTAGTCGTCGCTCTCCTCCACACACTTGATGACCAACGCTGCGTACCACTGGTTCAACACGACCTTGAACTTCAACCCCTGGCAGCAGGCACGTGGGATGAAATCTGGATCCTGATTGGTCGTCCGGACTTCGGTGCCGTCCTCGTAACAAAGTGGCTGGATGCTGTGGCGGGGCTGGAACAAAGAGGGATGTGAAGTTTTAACAAAGAGGAATATTTCAGAACACAGCAACACCACAAAGTACGCACAAGTGCCAACACGAAGTACCCACAAAACAACACAAAGTACCCACAAATGCCAACAACACAATGTAGCCACAAGTGCCACCACAAAGTACCCAGAAAACAACACAAAGTACCCACAAACAACACAAAGTACCCACAAGTGCCAACACCACAAAGTACCCACAAGGGCCAACACCACAAAGTACCCAAAGTGCCAACACGATGTACCCACAAAACAACACAAAGTACCCACAAGTGCCAACACGATGTACCCACAAAACAACACAAAGTACCCACAAGTGCCAACAACAACAACCGAGGATTACAGGAACGTACCATGAAATGGTGCCTAAATCCCTAGCATCAGGTGAAATACAGGACCACATTCTGACACACGGACCTACCATATACTGGAACCTGAATCCCAGGCTTTAAATAACCAACAAAAATACATAGGGACACACAAAGATACAGAAGGACACACGACGACACATAGGGATACAGGGACTCAGAGGGAGACGCGGTGACACCTAAGGACACAGAAGGACACGATGAGACACACAGCAGAGAAGGATACACCTGGATAAACATGACCACAAACGGACACACGGACTCACCATACACTGGAACCTGAACCCCAACGAGTGGTCGATGGCGACGACGGCGACCGTCTCGCTGCTGTTGCAGCAGGGTCTGCCCTGGCACGGGAAGTTGACGGACACGTTGTCCGAGGCGTAGCCCAGGATGCCGCTACAGCACATCTCGTCGTCCTGTGGGGGTGGGGTCGTCACAACCGGGGGCGGGTACATGGTGTCCTGAAACATCACGTGTGGTCATTAGCACATCCGGGGGGAGGTAAACAAAGTAAATTATCACAATGGTCAGTTCGATTATAATTGTAATCAAGTAAAGAGCTAATCCATCCGCTGGACCTAAACTCAAACTGTATAGAAAAAGAGCGAGTTGCACTTTTCCTAAAGGAGTCTATAGTTTGTGGTAATGGTTTTACAAACCTTCTGCCACTAAGCTTCACTTTATATAACCCACTCTAATTCATCGTTGCTCATCCCATTTGAAGCCATCACTAGTCTTACTTAGACAAATTGAACGCTTAAATAAATAGAATATACAGGAGCAGCTTTCTTTGGCATTGCACTGGATGCTTGAGAGGGGGGGGGGGGAGGAATTGTTATGGCTTAACAGCTCGTGTTTAGCTACCGATCGAGCAAGTATTCCGTGGGTTAGACTACCGTTAGACAACACTTGTTTATTTTTTTTATTTTTTTTTATTAATTTATTAATTTTTTTTTTTATATTTTTTATTTTTTTTTATTATTATTTTTTTTTGACAACACTTGTTTATTATCGGAATTTTTGATTACATGCAAAGGCAGAACAATTTCAGTAATTCATTTATGAACATTTTCATACTTTCATAGTTTTGACATTTAATAAAGCTAATAGTTTTTATATTTAATTATAGTTAACTTAGAAATCTAAAAACTATAAAATTTAAGATATAAACTAAAATCTCATACAACGTTAATAATTGTTCTTTATAATATTAGCCACATTTATTTATTTATTATTATTGTTATATTTCTTTACTTTTTTTACATATATTTAGTAACATTTATAGGTTGTCTCCCCTAAACACATCAAAATAACAAATTGTCTAAATGTACTAAACAATGAGGCATCACTTACGCCGCATTGTTAGCTAAATATACGAATTGAATATGTATATGTATGCTTGATTGCGAATGTATACATATACACAAAACGAAGTGTAAAAAAAAAAGCAACCAGTCTCACCCTTGGCAACAACCAGGGGCGGGTTGGGTGTGTCCCAACGGCCAGGGGCGGGTTGGGTGTGTCCCAAAGGTCAGGGGCGGGTTGGGTGTGTCCCAAAGGGCCAGGGGAGGGTTGGGTGTGTTCCAAAGGTCAGGGGCGGGTTGGGTGTGTCCCAACGGTCAGGTGCGGGTTGGGTGTGTCCCAAAGGTCAGGGGCGGGTTGGGTGTGTCCCAACGGTCAGGTGCGGGTTGGGTGTGTCCCAAAGGTCAGGGGCGGGTTGGGTGTGTCCCAAAGGTCAGGGGCGGGTTGGGTGTGTCCCAAAGGTCAGGGGCGGGTTGGGTGTGTCCCAAAGGTCAGGGGCGGGTTGGGTGTGTCCCAACGGTCAGGTGCGGGTTGGGTGTGTCCCAAAGGTCAGGGGCGGGTTGGGTGTGTCCCAACGGTCAGGTGCGGGTTGGGTGTGTCCCAAAGGTCAGGGGCGGGTTGGGTGTGTCCCAAAGGTCAGGGGCGGGTTGGGTGTGTCCCAAAGGTCAGGGGCGGGTTGGGTGTGCCCCAAAGGTCAGGGGCGGGTTGGGTGTGTCCCAAAGGTCAGGGGCGGGTTGGGTGTGTCCCAAAGGTCAGGAGCGGCTTGGCTGTATCCCAACGGCCAGGGAAATAAATTAAAAGCGGGCTCCTCCTGAGGACCGGTGCCCCTACGTAACACTTTACAAATAGCGATATAAATTATAACAAAAATGACGAATGGAAATAGTTTATACATAAATATATTAAAAAATCAAAGCACTAATAGGCACAGTACAGCATCGATCCCGGCTGCCCACCGGCGGCACAGTGCACCCCTGGAGACAGTCTAGAAAGGAGTGGGTGAAATGTTACATAGCCAAGTAGTGGATTATGGGACGTCGTAGCCTAAGCGGTAGGGCGCTAGGTTGCTAACCCGAAAGTATAGATCGAATCCGGGTCCTAGTCAGTAGAGCGTCCCTGAGTCCATCCAGCTCTAATGAGTACCTAACTCATGTTGGGGAGAGTAAAGGTGGCTGGGCAAAGTGCTGACCATACCTTCCCTTTATATATCGAGGTCAAGGAATATGAACTCTCTCTTCTGCTAGGTATAAAGAGGATTCTTTACAAGTAGTGATATTAGACAGAAAAAAACGTCGGCTAAGTTTATAGTCTGCTGTGGTCAGATGAGCAACGCCTTATAAAAACCTCAACGAAGTACTGTTATCGTGTTTGTTATTTTTCATAAACATGGAACTTCCAAAAACATGTTTGTGCTTTTGATCGTGACTTGAGTTGTTTCTGTTTTTGGTGTTTACACGTAGGCAATAACGTATAACAATTTTATGTCTTAAATTCACCATCTTTAGTCGATTTCTTGTACCACGGTACGGCTAAACCAAGAGGTCAGTCACGACCGGGTCATAACTGGTGAGTACATTTCGCAAACTTATCAGCCGTGAGCAGTCACACCCGGCATAAGCTGCTCTGGCCAGGTCAATACCCCGGAGCAGACCGGATGTTGTCCAGACACGGAAAAATTCTGCCAGATTTGGTCGGCTTTACAGGCCGAGTCTAGGGACGAGGGGAATTTATTGAGGTGTCACAGTTTTGGTCACTGGCGATTTGCTAAGCTCGGAGCTGAAGAGCTCAGTTAGATCTTGTCACAGTTATGGTTAATTGCAGCTTGCGAACCTCGGAGCTTAAGAACTCAGATCGTGTCCAAGTTTATGCCACTTCTGATTATTTTAAGCTCGGAGATTAAGAACTCGGTCTGATCTTGTCCCAGTTTATGCCACTTCTGATTATTTTAAGCTCGAAGATTAATAACTCGGTGAGATCTTTCCCAGTTTATGCCACTTATTATTTTCTAAGCTCGGAGCTTAAGAACTGAGTCAGATCTTGTCCAAGTTTATGCCACTTCTTATTTTCTAAGCTCGGAGCTTAAGAGCTGGCCTAAATTTCGCCTGTTTTTGTTCACATGTGATTTACTAAGCTCTGAGCTTAACAATTCAACTACGCCATCCTGTCGCTCAAATTAATTTAAAAAACGAGTTTAGTCATTTTACCCTAAATAGATTCCTAACACCCCCAAAAAAATTGGTTTTAGCGGAGCAAGCCCTAAGTGGACATTTAAGTGAATACAATTTTTAACCCCAGTAGAACTCGCCCAAAATATTTGCACTAATTAGCGCTGTCAAAGACACGAGGTAATGGATGCTAAGAAGATGCTCGTGCAAGCTGCGACTGCTGGAACTTACGTCATCAAACAGACAACGCCGTGTCTTGAACAGGGTCTAAGAAAAAACGGAAGAGAGATGTAGACAAATATCTTCTCCTGGGAAATCATCATGGTGGGGATGAAGTAGGGAGACGGGAGGGTGACGGTGGGGGGGGGAGGGGGGACGACGAGGGAGGGGAGCGTACGTACCGGGGGCTAGTGTTTCACATAGCAGATAATTTAATTCGGTCCTGGAGTTTTTGTCGGGACAAAATTGAGTCCGTTTTTTTTTCGTGTCAAGAGTGTCCGACATTTTTTTTTTCTCTTTATGACATCGTGTGTCAGTTTTGCAACCACTTCCATTTAAGGGCTTGAGGGTTAACCATCGCATGTTCTGATGTAAATACCAGGAAACATGATTTCGTGTTACGCACGGAGAAAGCACATCATCTTACTCAAGGAAACATAACTTCTATGGAAACATGATATTTTCTTTTTTCAAGGAAAGTCTCCTTGTTCCGGGAAACATGACATTTCCTTACTCTGGGAAACATAACAACTTACTCTGGAAAATATGACATCTTACTCTGGGAAATATGACAACTTACTCAGGGAAACATGACATCTTACTCACGGAAAGATGACAACGTACTAAAGGAAACATGACATCTTACTCAGGGAAACATGACATCTTACTCAGGGAAACATGACATCTTACTCAGGGAAACATGACATCTTACTCTGGGCAACATGACATTTTACTCAGGGAAACATGACATCTTACTCAGGGAAACATGACATCTTACTCTGGGAAACATGACATCTTACTCTGGGAAACATGACATTTCCTTACTCTGGGAAACATCACATCTTACTCTAGGCAACATGACATCTTACTCAGGGAAACATGACATCTTACTCAGGGAAACATGACATTCAAATTTGAGCGCAAACAAGCAAAACCTACCAGAGTTAAAGCCCCTGACAGGAAGTACGCTTGGGGAGAAAAAGACGGCTTATGCGCATGACAGTCCCGGTGATTATGGTCAGATTTACTTTTCAGACAAGGGCTCTAACCCACGGTACCACCAAAGTTCGAGTGCTAATTCAGAAGCAGCAATTTGGGAGTTGTCCCCACTTTACAACTCTAAACTTTTTTATTCCGTTGTCTTCTGTAAAGTGTAAAACTGTCGGTATAAACTTGGAATCGATTGAAATTTTCCATCTCACTTTTCTTTCTTTTATTTAAAAAAAAATAGTTTTATGCAGGGGAGAAGTTGGCTGCTGTTTCGCACATAAATTTCTATTACACCAGAAATTGCATTCCTTCCTCACTTCCGCCCCCCACCATTAAAAAAGCATTTACAAAACATGCGGAATCCATTATTGCTAATCTCGTTCGCTACAACTCGTAATTGTCCGATTCTCCCGGAAAATGTCCGGATAAAGACTAAACAAATCGTCAGCTCTTCCGGTCCTATAAAGAAGCTTGATTTTTTTAGACGCAGGAAGACGCACTATTTCATCCACTAATCTCTGCGCATGTCTACTCACGATAAAAGCGTTTCCGGTTCCCCAGGGGGCAGCAGACGATGCAGATGAAATGCTTGGCGCGCTGACGTACGTCACCATGACAGATTAAAAGGGACAGGTTATGCGGAAGTAAAAGGTCTACCAGAAGAGCGCAGATCGACTGTAATATTTGAATTAGTACGACGGAAGGGGATTGGTTGCCTAATGACGGGTACGTCTAATCTCCTAGGCCGAATTTATTCGCATCAATGAAACAAAAATCTGGGGGTA